ATGCCACAATAGTCTTATCATTTCAAATGCATTATTTCGCTTCAAATCCAAATTTGGGTAATTGGTAAATTGCTAAAATTACAACAAAAAAAAAGGCTTCGCGCATGTTTTGTTTTAAAGCAACGAACGACGTTTGGCGTGCGTACAGTCCACATATCGTGCTGGTTTTTAAACCAAAATACTGCATTTTTGTGTGGATTGCACGTGTATTCTAAACACTGTGAACCAACTAAACCTGATCTTACGGCGTCGTCTTCAGATGGTTCGTAGATATTCTAATATCGAACTTCCTATCTTAAGTACATATGCGGTGTTGAGGGATCGTGAGAGGCCTCCAGGCCGTCCCACTGCTTCGTTACTACCAAGGCGGATTGGATATTTGTTAATGTATGCAGCTGAACAGTTTTGACGAAATACCACGGCAAGGAATGAACGAAAACACTACGCATGAAACGGCGATATCTTCGTTTATTCGTTCATTACTTTCGTGCTTTTGTCAAAGACTTGATCAGAGGACCAAATTGACAAACATGAACTAACTAGCCGTAACGGATTTGTCAGTCGCGAAATGTCTCTCTCCGTAACGTTGCACGGGCCCAGTGGTCCTGGGTGTTGTTTTTTAAGCCTTCCATCAGAAGTTCCACAACGTTAAATGCAGGAACCTATTCCGACCTATTATTAAGAGCGAAAAGCGAGGAAAAAACCCAGCGAGAATATCACATAATACCCGTAGGGTTACTTGTTTTCCCTTAAGTTGCCCGGCGCCTGGTAAACCGAATTTCCTTTCCTCAAGAACACTCGAAAGTATCCGACGGCAATATCTGAGTTTGCCGATCCACGCCAATGCATCGAGGTATGTAAGCATTCTAATTAAACCTATTAAAAGTATTGATCCGCTGGGGAGAGACAGAAAGGCCCAAAATCACTGAATGTTTCCAGAGTACCGCATTGTCCGTTTCAACTTAGAAAGCGAACCAATAAAGATCTCTGATTGACTTGTTTGCCATCTCGAAGCTCATGAAAAGAAATAAAGCAGAATAACGTATCTGTAACCTCTTCACGGTGACCTCAAATAGTTGGAAAATTACAACCAGTCAGAAGGTGATAAGCGTATTGGTTTTCGGGTAGTAAGACAAAACAGTACATAAAAACCGCACACACCAAAACCGCATGGTCAAAACAGTACGATGACAAAACAGAAGACTTTAAAACAGCACAGCGACAAAAGGCCTCGTGCCAAAAAATCACAATATCAAAACAACACATAGACAACACAGAACGCATGTATGTGACGAGTGGCGTTAGTAACCGCGTAGCTCTATGTAAATGTTTCAAGTTATGTTAATGGCGTGTTAAAAAATATGTGATTATTTTAGGCGGTTTATGTAGTCACTACGAGCAGCCTGCTACATGAAAATGATCTTACACCTTTTGAATTTATTTATTCATAGTGACAGACACAAAGCTAGAGAACCTGCAGTGATTTAACAATGCCCGTGAGCATACGTCTTAACCTTTCTTGAAACTATGACCTTGTAATACGGACATATTGTCGAAAGGGCGATGTTTAATTGAGGATTCGATTTTCTGTCTGAAACCCCCGGGTTGTTGAAATCCAATCCCCAGTGTCTTCGCTGCGATGCGCTAGATTCCCTGCGAAGATCTAACTCGTGAACTCCCAATATTTACTTTACTTTTCTTTGATTTTAGTTATTTGAAATTCCTAGCCCTATAGCCATAGTTTTTTCGCGTTTTTTTTCTTGTCCTTCAAACTTTTCTACAGGTATCTTAAATGTATGTTAACAGATTCATTGATCCAGTTCGCTTTCCCATATATATAAATATTTTTCGAAGCTTCGGATTTTTTAGCTCAAGGACCATTCAGTGTCTCGAGTCGGGTCAACTAAAGCCAACCGAATATTTCCGTAGATGCATTAAACTCAGCAGGAAACACTTTCAGGGACAAAAATAAAAAAAAAAAAAAAACAAGATATCGTAATCGTCGTTTAAATGCCTGAAAACCCAGACGACGTCATCGTTGCGCAAGTCGCATTGAGAGAAGGACGTGAAGGTCAGGAGCACGCAATCTCGCGCAGTCGCACTTTCCTCTTTATTCATTCATGCCACACACAGCAACATTATGGTTTTCTATGCCGAGAGCAGTGGGCTTTCGTTTGGTCTTTCCCGACTGGGATGACGAGACGGTCACTACCAATACGCATTACAAAAAAAATTGCTCATCTTACCAGCAGTAATTTATTCGGTGGTGCTTTTGTATCGACAGCCAGCGATCAGCTATACCGTCGGGGGTTCGGTATTGATTGGCGGTATACTGAAGGTCATTATTTTATCAGAGAAACTGCAGTGTTGTTGTCATGATATCGTATGCTTCTTTTCTTTGTTTGTTTTTCTATTCAAATATAGCACCTAGGGTTCACCGAACATCCTATTTATCTACATTGTCACTTTCCCCGCGCTACGCCTTGTGGATGGCGAATGCGGATGTCACCGCCTCGAGGTTCGTCGCTTCTTCGGTTCTTATCGAAGCCACAGTCTTCCAGCGGTTCCAGAAGCACCGTGTCCGGCCGTAGGCGCAAAAACGGCCACCGGAATTCCACGTCGGCACGTGTCTTTAATCATCTTGAGCGCGGAAACGCCACGCAACAACAACAATATCAGAAAATAAACACTATCCGGTTTGAGAAGTGGAGAGACTAGAAAACGGTGAGCCCGTCTGTCTTCTTTTTTTATTTCTGCGTTTGTGTTTTCTCCTTTTTTTGCTATGCCCGATGGCCCTGTGCTTGCGCAGCAAGGTGAAACACACATTTCCTCCTCTACCAACACGTCGCTGTGGCGCCTCCTCGTAGCGTAAAGGCACAGGCTTAGAGGATCATCAAGTGACCGCCGTTGGAAAACCGAGGAAACTCATCGGGTTCTGATTGACGCGTCTTTTCTTTTCACGTGAGTGCTACAACGTTTTCGACAGTTCTTGCGCCAATACTTTGCAGTAATGCTCAAGGTGTTTATAGACGCGACAAACATTTAGGGTTCTTGATTGTGAGAACCTTTATGCTGGCGTTTTGCTGCTATAAGCTAATTCAGAAACGCGAAGCGTGCGTAACTTAGTCTGCCTCTTTGTCACGGCAGATGCCCGGCTTCTGATTTCAAAAACTCCTCAATTAAAAAATAATAAAAATAATTGAAAAAAATTATTCTTTGAACGGAAGCAGTTTTACGTTCTAAAGAACGAACTCCATGGGTCGAGTGTACTGCGAATAACCAAGGAGCTTCGCTCTGTAGCACGTTCGCTCTGCGCGCAGGGTCAGAACAGTGGATGTTCCGTCGCGCGCCAAGTGAACCTACCGCCGGATGAAGTTAGTCAGTTATTCAGCACATACTCGCTATTAACAGCCAAAAACATATAAAACAGCATTTCTTTGGGCTAAATGGGCAATTGGGCGAGTTAGTAAGAGTTCATCACAACTTACAGCGCGACCGGGACAAGGACAAACAGAGGAGAAAACACAGGACAAGCGCTGTCTGTCCTTGTCCCAGTTGCGCTGCAATTTATGATTTATCGTGGTTATTACGTGATTTCAAATAAGCTAACTTCATTTCGTATTGATTTCTACGACCCGTAATTTCTTATCCGGCGAAGTGTTTTTTTTTTCATCACTTTATTTTATTGATATTGAAAAAAAAAAATTGCTCAATAGTTTCATCCTTGAAAACAACCTGTGCCAGCTTTTAACCGTTCAAGCAAATAAAAATATAGAACTACTTACTTTTCCTAGTAGCATGTATTAAAAATTAAAAATTATCGTTTCCTGAAAGTTGGACTGAAACCTGTAGTATAAGAATTCAAGGTCGCTTCGTTGGACACTTTGATTATAAAACTGACAACCAAACTTGTTGGAGTCAATTTGTGACGTAACAGGTGTTGGTTAACCAACTCCGCGACTGCCGGAAGAACGTCTTTTCACGTGGGATTGTCCGTACATGGGCTTGAATTTTGAAAGCGGGAGGCAAAGCAGGAGATTTTAGTGCGAATTGCGGATTCATATAAATGTACTTGACGTTAGCCTTCCTGAAATAGTTTAAAACTTTAGAAAGTTATAACTCTGCATATCCAAACTGAATGTCCTAGCAGCATAATTCAAAGAATGTGCCACATAATTTAAAAAATGTGCAATCCTTAAGCACCCTGTCTTGCAAGTCATTCGAATTGTCATTGAATTATTGCAAAATCACACGTGAAAAAGGTACCCTCGCGAAAGAATTTTAAAGTAACATTGATTCGATAGATCAAACAGTTGCAAAGCTTTATACTTAAATGGAAACATCAAACTTAAAATAATTTTGCAGACAAACAGGAAAATACAGATTACGTGCAAAAATATTTTCATTTTTGCCCATAAAGAAGTGATGTGAAACTGCAACCCGGATAAAATTTGTTATTGACAATCATAAATGAGCTTTTTTCATAAAAGGGCTAGTCAGCTTCTTACCTCCCTAAAAGAATGTAAAAAAAAATGAAAGACGTTTACGACTCCCTGTGATGTCGAATTAGAGCGCTGCTCTTGAGGAGGAGGAGGGAAAGGTACGGAGGGGAGGGGACGGTACCGAGGGGAATTCACCGTGAAATTGCGGGACAATTTCCCACTTAATTCCACCGCTAAATTTAGCGAAACATTTCCCCGCTAACTATGGCGGAAAACTATGCGACGCCGCTCAAGCCGGAAACGGGTGCCTAAAAGCTGCGCTCTAAAATTATGGTTGTCTTGTTAGTACGTACACCTTATCTCTGAGTTTTCTTTTTTTGCTTCGTTTGTAGTAAATTGTTTCTCTTTGGGTACGGCCGTACAGTGTGAAATTTGTAAAATATATATCTTAACGTCTCTCACAAATGTCATAAAAGCGATACTACTCGCCGTTAATAAATTTAAGATTTTCTTTTCGTTGCTTAATGACTAAAGTACGCTTGTATTGCATTACAGAATCAACATGTCCACAATTCTTCCCTTTTTCTCGTTCATACTGTGCATTATTTCATCTACCCAAAGCGGTAAGTGCAATTTTTGTTATAGAATAATTACAATAAAAACCACTCATAATGCCTGTTTCACATTCTCCGTAGCAATTCAAGTAAATTTTGTGCTATCAAATGGTCTCCTATCTTGAATTTTGTCTGCTTGTGCTCTTGAAATATTAGATGCGATATGTAGCATGTGGAAAATACCAAAGTGAGAGAGAGTTCTTCTCTTATATATAAAAATGAAAATCTCTAGAAGTTTTCAAGGAGACGATATGGAAATTTCGCAGAACAACCATCATTTATGTTTTTCTTGTTGCTTGAATGTCGTCGAGAGCTTTTTTTTTTTTTTTGTGGTTTCAATATCCCTTTTTTTTACTATCCAAGCGGCGCCGGTCTCTGAGCACTTCAGAAATTAACAATGAAAAAAAGCCACGCATGCATGGAAGGGCACACAATGAAGTAAGACAATTTGAGGCAGCATGATGTTCAACGGCGTTTTTCTCCCTATCCCTATCCCTCAGCGGACGACTTCATTAAGAATGGCGGCACACCAGTCGTGTGCTACTATCACGGCTGGGCGGCCACCCGGTCCAGCCCCATGAACTACAGGATCAAAGACATTCCAGGCGACCTGTGCACGCACGTCAACTTGAATTACGCCGGTATTGACATGGACAAGCTTACAGTCAAGGATCTCATTCCAGCGTATCAAATCAATTCGCGTAAGTATGCAAAGCCGAAACAAAAATGGCCGTCTTGTTTGCATTTCCCAAAGATGTTCTAAATCCACATCAAGTACCAGGATACCACGCCACCGTGTCACATGACGTCATTCTGTCACGCGACGTCATTATATCAAGTGATGTTATAATGGCACCTGGTGTCGCGACGTCATGTCTTTTTGTGGTGTCTTGTGACTTCACAAAAAAAAACTTTTAAATACAATGATTTTAGAGAGCCCTTGGGATAATGTCACAGTGTCATGGACACCGTGACGGGGCAATATCTGCGGCCACAGAATCACCATTGTGCAGTTGTGTTGGTAGGTTCGGAGCGATCCAAAAGCGCTCCCTGCTCGCGCCTTTAGTGCGGTATAGACGCGAGCGCGTCCTTGCACGCCCAAGAAGATACCATCAAAAAACCGCTCCGAAACCACTCCAAACCCACAAGGCGAATTCTTTATAAGTCTGGTTTTGTAAGCGAACATATTAAGCTTCACCCTGCGCTTCTTCAGCTGTTGGTGAATACAGATACGCCTCCACAGAGCTTCACTGATAAGGGTTCAATCACGCTGCGTTACCAGCCTCGATGCGGAAAACATTATGATGTGATCCACAATTGACTCGGTCTTTTTTATTTTAATGACTAAGGGTAACGTTTATTGTCGCGCTAGCATTAATTTCCCTCTTGGTCTTTTTATATCCGCAGGTGTCGAGTTGTAATTATTAGTTGTGAGCATCCCAACTCGTGCGAGACTGCACTTTAAAAGCGCCCGTGAGTTCACACTCCTGCAGAACAGGGTGAGTGCAAAGCACGGCGAACAATACGAGAATCCTTGCAAATGACAATGCTCGGAATACGATTATATCTAAAAAAAAATGTAATGTGTGCCGGATACTGAGCAAGTGAGAAGTCATGTTCATTTTCCCTGTGCACATCGCATTTTGTTTATCTAATCGTATTCCGAGCTTCTTCATTCGCTGGGATCCTTCTATTATTCGCCGTGAATGGGTGTCTCTATGTTTTGAGGGAAAGTGAACTCACAGGCTCCTTTTTTAGTGTGTAGAATTATCTTCTGAAAAATTACACGATGCTGGTCTTTCGTTAACTGTACTACCCCGATCTCAATTTCAAAGGTCGCAAAGTAAATCTGTGTACCGTTTTTTGTGGTTGTTTTTTTTTAGGACAGTACAAGGAATTTACCGGCATCAAAAGCAAATTCCTGTTTGTAAAGACGATGATCTCGCTGGGAGGTTGGGACCAAGGAGGAGAAGCTTTCTCGTACGTTGCGAGGGATCCAGTCAGACGCTGCAATTTCACAAAGAACCTGTACAAGTTTCTCAAGGACAACGACTTCGACGGCGTAGACATCGACTGGAGATTTCCCGCCAGCCCCGATAGGGCCGGCCAGCCAGAAGATAAGGAAAACTACGTACAACTCCTGAAGGTAATTCATTCAAATCGTAACTTTGCGCCGTGTGAAAACCCCTTCAGTTGACGGCAATACTTGCGCTAACCTTTCCTGAGTGTAATCTAAATTTAACCGTTTCTTATTTTCTTCTACGCGTGTAATTTATTTGAGACGTCGCTTCGGGCCCTTACCGCAGACGAAGCAGCAAGATACAATTTGTTCGGAGACATAGCAATCATTAGGGCTGAGTTGTAACGAAAACAATACTTTAGACTTTAGTGTTTTGATTTGTGTCTCATTCCAACACTGCTTACATAACTAAGATCTTCTACTCAACCTGCCGGGAGCGGGTGCTGGCTACATATTGGAAACAAGTACCGATTCAGTGTTACGCTCGGTCTCGCGTTTAATCAGAGAGCACTAGTCCCAGTCAAACGCTGACTCATCAGTCATGTTTACTCAGTGAACCCAAGTTGGCCTCCGTTTAGTGACGCAAATACTCTGGCAGTAAAACCTTATTTTCTAGGAGCTGTTGCTCGTTCTCCTCGTACCAACGAAAAACAAGCTGAACTGTCGCGGACTTCAATGTCAGAATACATAGGGGATTTTGCACTTTGGTTAATGAGATCGAATGACACCAGGTTCAACCGTTCTGGCCCGCGATAAAAATGCCCGTTCTAAGTCAGGTGGTGTGCTTCTTTTAATAGTACGATTATCTCGTTAGTTAGTATAAGCAGGGCCTGGAGCAAACATATGTTCAGCAATTCGCCCAATGTGCGAGTAGATAGTTTGTTCACGACGCAGTAAAGTGAACCTCAAAAAAGTTTCGGTGTGGTAAAATGTCCAATGGACATAAACCTAAGAGCCAGTAAAACATCAATTCGTGAATTTGTGTAATAACACTAAGTGGAGATTAACAAAGCTCTTGATTAGACGCTATTCATTTACAAAACACAGATTTACAAAAAAAAGAACTCGGTAGTGCTTATATCCGATTGGTCTTTACGCCACATCCGTAACAGCAGAAGTCAAAGTTTATTGGCAAATGCATGCACCACGTGTTTTAGCTATATATAAGTAACAACGACTTCTATACTAAAGAGAGTGATATTTTGTCCTTAAAATTGTAACCCCGTCGTCTTCTTTTTTTTTCTTTGCGCTTTTCTTGTAGAGTTTTTGCTCACTCAGGAAGAAAGGACTCACTGTGACGGCCACGGTCCCTATAACGCCATATTACCTGGATGCCGGATACGACATTAAAGAAATGGCTAAGTAAGATTGGAAGTCTTCATCAATCATTCATAAGAAACGAATTAACGTATAACTTTGAAATTATCGACTTTTTTCTCGATAAAAACGCACAACAATTATATCCAAAGCCGCCAATAATCTTCATAATACCATTAGCGCAACTTGTATGTGCTGAGCTGGCTCACATGTCTTATAGGCAGCTCGAGAAACGCAGGACGTAGCCTATCATGATTACGCCTCTTGATTCGTGATTTGCGCTTGGGTGTTTCTGATTGGCCGAAGTCACAATCCTATTGACAGCATAGCGATAAAAAAAGGCTTAGAACTCATCCCGCCCTCCTTTTCTTAAGCTGTCGGTGACTGTAAATGGAACCAAGATTTACTCATACCATCAACATTTTTTTTAATCAGCTGAAATGACTATATTATTGGGAGAGTTGGTGGTGCCATACGTTCCGAATTCGCAAAAGAGGTGTCAATTCTTTGTTTCTGACACTCAAGCAGCATGTCTATCTGACGATGATACCGCTCGACCTCCTCGCTGATTAAGCTGAGTTTATGCCCAGATACTGCGGTTTCGAGAGTATTTCGGGGGCAATTAGTATACACGTGAAGACACTACCTACCTAATGTTTTAAAAAATGTCATCTCTGTTGTTGTTGTTTTTAAATGTAGAAAAATTATTCTTTGTTTGCAGGTACGTTGACTGGTTCAACGTCCTTGGTTTTGACTTGAGAGGACGCTGGACTGGTATTGCCGATGTCCACAGCCCCTTGCATGCACGTTCTTTTGAAACCGGTGATGTCCGGAATCTCAACGTGGTGAGTTTGAGAGAACAGTTTCTGGATGTGTTTATCCACTCTAGGAAATCTGTTGCGTCTACATTTCCACAATGCCCTCGAGAAAGCCAGTCGCTGCAATTTATGAAGGAAGCTGGGCAATGAGGAGGCTGAAAATATTTTAGACCTCAGAAAACAGTCTCCCCATGATACTCAATATAGTGAAACATCATGCTAAAATGTCATGTCACAACGCACTGTGTTTTGTTTTGTTTTCTTAAGTTAAAACATATTTTCAGCATTGTCATACGCCGAGAACCCTCCATAGATCGCAGCAATTGGCTTTCCCAAGCGCGTTGCGGGAAAGTGGATGCTCGTGTTTTCTTAGAGTGTGAAGTTTCTATGACCTACTCTTTAGATTAAAATAACTTCTTACGTTCGATATCTTCAGGCGAAAGCCTTACTTGTCCTATTACGCGAAAAAGCGGCGGCGCTGTGCCCGAAAGATGGTCACACCATTACGTCATCAAGCACGCGCCTCAAAATTAAAACACGAAAAAAAGCACAGCAGCGCAGATGCTTCGTCATTGATGTCGTCGTGAAGCCGGCGGGGTTCGCAGCGCTTGCGCGGTGGGGGACGGGGGGGGGGGGGGGGGGGGGGAGGCGTGATGTCACCGCCCGAGCGCTGTGTGAAAAAAGAAGACGTGGCGCGCTGCTTGTAGGAATGCCTACTGTAGGAATGCTTTCGAATTCCTACAGCAAGCAGTCTTAAGTGTCTCTGCCTAATATTTTAATGCCATGCTTCTTTAGTTCGTCTGCTTTAAGAGCAGTGCTCTTCTTTTTATAAAATCTAAAATAATAATATGAAAGTAAAAACAAAATTGCGCGGATAATCATACGACGTGATGCGAATGGCAGCGTCAGTTTGTGCGACATATCGATGATATTGCCTCGTGGTTAACTGGGCATTCCGGTGATGTAGTCTCGCTTGGTGTCTCGCATAAACCACAACCCATCACGCACAGCCGAAGCAGCACAGATTTGTCAAATCATTGGCCAATGGCTGGCAATGGTCCTTCGGCAAGTGGCCAGACAGTGGCCAGACAGTGGCCAGCCATTGGCCAATGACTGGCCTTTCTCTGGCCATTGACCACTGGCCACTGGCCATCAGCTATCGGCCTAGCATTGGCTGATGAATGGCTACTCTTTGGCCATTGGCGAAAAGACCACAGCCAGCCATTGGCCAATGCCTGGCCAAAATCTGTGCTGCTTGGGAGAACAACTAACACCAAACACGTTCTCGTGGACGTGCAGCACAAACTTCTTGGTCTCAGCAGCGTGCCCGATCCCTGCTCGGTAACGTTCTCTTCTACGTGCCCCTTCACGCATAGCACGATCTTGACGCCGAATGCGTTCCATTCTAACAACCAGGGTGAAAGCGTCGGCGCCTACACATCGACGACGTTCTTTCTCAAGGTCGCGTTTACGTCGTCGATCAGCCGCTGCTTGCGACGGCGTATGCTTCGGCCGCCCCATTATCGCGCGCAAAGGCTTAGGGCGCCGAATGAACGGGCGACTGAAGGCGAGAAAAAGAAGGTGGCGAGGAGCGCGATCACATTGCCCCTAACATAATAGCGATTGTCTGAAAGCGCTGCGTCTTAACCGCGAATATTATAAACGAAAATGTGAGAGTATATCACTGCTGTACTCGCTTTCTCCTGGCGCGAATGCTCCGTTCGTTTTCGGCAGCATGATACTCGCTCAGCATATGCCAAATGCAGCGAGCATTCGTTATTCTCTAACTTTAGGAAAGGGGCCTGGCAAGACTCGTAGAGCTTGGCGCCCCCAAGAAGAAGCTGGTGCTTGGAATTCCTTTCTTCGGGCGGAGCTTTGTCCTTCAGGACAGCAACAAGACCCAAGTGGGTGCCCCCATCAAGGACGCACCTGCAGTTCCTGGACCATTCATTGGCAGCACGGAGATTATGGCTTACTACGAGGTATATACGTCTTCATTACCATCGGTCTGGTTTTGTGTGAACAGGCGTGGCAACCAAATCCTATTTTGCCAACACGCAGATCTGCACCAATATCGTGGACGAAATTGCCACACGGGAGTTCGACAAGGAAGCCATGTGTCCTTACATACATTACGATGACCAGTGGATTGGATACGAAGATGAAGAAAGCGTAGGAGCGAAGGTGGGTTCTTCGCTTACTTATGCACGAATACCGTCGGCCCCATTCAAAACTAGCTTATAGTTATCAAGATGTCAGGGCGTGTCTTTCCGAAGCCGGAGCTCCAGCATGCACTCGTTGCATCTCGTCATATTTTCGCTGCGCCTGGACGCTCAAGGCTTACGAGACGCCGAAAAGTAATCGAAGGTAAGAAGTTGAGGCGGGACGACAACTGAAAGACCTCCCTGTTGTTCTAATCCTGCGTGTAACTACAGAACTTTGTGAGCGTACTATTAAAATGAAAAACAGCATGACATATGATGTCCATGTAAAAACTAGGACAATGTAAGCCAGGCACGTAGCCTGGGGGGTGGCTCGTGGGCCCCCCCCCCCCCCCCCCCCCGAAATCCTCAGTTTTGCTGGGACCTCCTCTACCCCATCCCCCCATCTATGGTGATTTCCATGAGCGCCTCCCCCCTTAATCCCCCCCTCCCCTCTTCCGAAATGAAATTCTGGCTACGTGCCCGATGTAAGCGATGGGTCAGTTCATTTTAATTTACTGCAATTCTAATCATATTTGACTGTCGTAATGACCCAGCAGACTGATTAAGTATATTAAGCAATATAGTTCAAGAAAGATATGCAAGTCTGGTGCACTGATATGTAAGTCTGGTTCCACCGACTCTTTGCCAGATCACTACCAGTGACCCAAACAAAGGAGGTTTATTGTGTGGTCCACAAAGTTCAAAAGATATAGTATGGTTTCCAAACGACGAAATCAGATGCAACGTTGGGATGCAACTAACAAGCCAAAGAGCAACGGCTTCGTATCTGGAACAGGCGATGTGGTTCTTCGACGATGCGTCTGGTTTTTAATTCAATAGATCAAGATGCATTCGCTACCGCCTACTCGAGAAGGCTGTTTACCCTCAATGTTTTGCGCGTACATATGTTGCATTGAATTGATAGGAATAAATACAAAATTTTAACAAATTAGCTAATTAATAAGGTAATGTAGTAAGCATTAATAAGGAATATAGAATCTCTTGAAAGTAATTGCGGCCGAGATCAGCGCTTAGTGCATAGCCTATCTTTCATGGAATAAAGAACGTTCATTTGAATATGTACTTGAGAGGACATGCCTGCACAATGTTAATAAGACCGTTATAACACCGATCATTCTTTATAGATCTCTGATAATAGAACCTAAAATAGGTTTTTCTCGTTTGTTTTTTAAACAAAACGATGTTTTGCGAACAAGAAAGAGCCAGGCAGCTAAATATACGGTTCTTAGGTGCTTGTACTTGATTGCGCTACTTGTGGCGCTGAATCTTTTTCTGTGATAGCGATAATGAAAATTCATTTCGAGGCAAGAAGGAATGAAGAGTGAGAATACTTTGGATAATGTTGCAGAAAAACAAGTTTGAACAGTTGACTGACAGCACAGAGCTGAAGAAGCTTACATTAACAAGAAACGCTGCCAATGCGACGACGCGTCATCACGATCTATTGATGGCTCATTTGGAGTGGGTTCTAAATTACGATCGCACTATTTGGTCGCTAGACTACCAGCACTGCTGGTAGTCTAGCAACCAGACGCTAGCACCACACGTCGTCCCGTACCAACGTTACTAAAACACTCAGTTGGGAAACTCCCATAGAGACAGCTTCGAAGGAGTGGCCCCAATCTGTCTCCGAGCACCGAGCTAATGACGAACACAACGCCACCATTTCTCCCGCAGCGGCCTCTCGTAGAACTGCACGTGACTTCTATTTTGGCTAAAAACAGATACAGCGGTAGAGGTTACAGGGGTGCCACCCCCGTCTCCCCGGCGGACGCGCCGCGTTCAACTACTGCCGTTAAAATGCACCTAGGTCAGGACGTGCTACCTTGTATAAAAACAATATTAATTGTTCCGCAAAACCTTGCGAACTAAAGATGATAAAAACATCACGCGCCCATCATGTGGTACTAAACTCCAATAAATTTCATACAAAAAGAGTCTTTTCCGTTTGTTTTTACGCAAAAACAGGCTTTCAAAAAGCTCAAGGTGACCACAGTACAGACAAATGATAAAGAGTGGCGCTGTTGTCGCATTTAGCTCGGTCTCGGTGGACGCCAGCGGCCCAGGTTTCGACGGCGAGTTTCCCAACTGTGTGTTTTAGTAACGTTGTCCCGTACCAAGATCTCCCATAGCGTTACTGAGAGCTAGGTTTCGTGACCAGAAGCGTATTCAAGAACTCTGGTATTACTGAATACTTGCTGTCATGAAACATAGATCTTGCACAGATTAGAAAAATAAGCTTCTTCTAGAACTGGTATCATGTGCAGCATGGCGTAAGTTGGTGATCTTTACTGTCCAAATCGGATTACGCTTTGTCGCGACCCTATACACGCAAGCCGCATAGACTTTTGTAGGGACTTACATTTGTGTTCGTATAAAATCTGCGCCCAAATAAAGATATCAAAAAAACTACTTACCTAATAATTAATTATGCAATTGATTGATTGCATGTCTGGTCGATTGATTGATTGATTGATTGATTAATTGATTGATTCTCTCAGATTGGGAGAGCTTTTGATTCATTGTTCACCTCAAATCTGCCCTACTACAAACCAGAACACATAATCTTTATCAAAACCAAACTTAGAAGCAATGTGGACAGAAAAACAGATGCTCGTCAATTAGAACAAAAATTTTAAAATGGGCAAAGTCGCAGCCGCATTGTCATGAGGTAACGAACGGGAACTAACAGTTCTATAAATGAATGGAATCACAATACGTTTATTCTTGTCATTTCAGATGGATTTTATCATCAAAGAAGGTTACGCGGGCGTGATGGTCTACAATAACGACATGGACGACTTCAACGGAGTGTGCGGCAAAACGCATCCCCTGCTTAAGACCATCTACGAAAAGCTGGCCGAACTGCCGGAGCGAAGGAGGCGATGAATACATAGTAATAAATAAATAGGCAACATTTCAAAGAAATGATTTCTCCGGACAAAGAAGTCAGATTTCTCTTAGCAGCGTCTAAAGACCTGAAATTGAACATCATTAAAGAATTTCGTTCTTGTGTTTCATGTCATACCTTCGATAACCATTTTAAACTGCCTGAGTACACTGTACATTAAGATAGTTTTTGTTTTATTTTATTGATTATGGGCTGCTTCTCGCAAATCAGCATTATATATAGAATTCCCCGTATTTCCTTTTCACTGTTCTGGCTGGTTTTGCAATTGCGTTTTCAGAGTGGTTCACAAAAAGTCGCAAGTACCCTGCAGCCGCCGCAGGCAGGCTCTAGCCGTAGGGAAGGCTCCCTAAGCTGGCGCAGAGCCGTGAGCTGGCGGGGCCGCAGCCGCCATCTGTCGGATGTTACACCAGTCAGAGGGCGCGTGGTTAGCAGACAGGCGACGTAAATAGGGAAAACCAGTTATCGTTGTTGTTGTTGTCGTTGTTGTTGTTTTTATTGTTTTTATTGTTTTTTTATTTTTTGCTAAGGTGAGCTTGTTCTACAAAAATGCGATGGGACGCTTCCACTACTTTCAGGCACCTCGGTGATAAATCGTAGCACAATACGTTCCCCGGTCGATTTCTGTGATCTTTTTAAAGGCTTCACCCGAATTCGAGGGCACACGGTACATCAGTCAGATTCCAGTATCAATCTTTAAGACTTTTGCAACTTAAAACGTCAATTAAACCGCTGTTTACCAAGGAATAATCGACTACAATCACTGAACAGTCAAGAAACTCGGGGCGTGTCCAGCGACCCCGGAAGTGTATTTGACATGGGGGGATGGGGGAGGGAGGGGGGGGGGGGGGGGGTAACGGTTTAAAGAAAGCGGAAAAGGGGAAGGGGTGGTCTGAAAAAAATCAAAGTTGAAAAAACAATTATTACTACGATTTTGCTTTATATAGGAGGTTTATTATCACTACCTACCGTGTGTCCAAACATTCATTCAAAATTCCTGTCACGGAGTAAAAAGTACTGGGATGTTCACGCAATCTGATCCAATAGCAGTAGCTATACGGTGGCATCGATCTACGGTGTCTGTGTAAAATTCACTGGAAAATCGGGCGCCTGCACGTAGAGAGTTCACATTTTCAACGAAGGTATATTTTAATCGTGAACGCATTTCTGCGAAATTTCTTGGCTTGGGCGCATTTCTTTCTTGGACGCATTCCTGCGAGAAGTTAAAACAATGGTATTCTTGAAAATTTCAAAAAAGTTTTCCAGTGGTGAACGCAGTCGTCCTTCGGTGGTAAACATTCACTGTCGGTGCCCTTTTTTATTTCAGCATGTTTCCTGTTTTTATTGTCGTCTTTGAAAAGAGGATAAAACAGTCTGGGCGTAGGTGCCCAACTGAACATAGCAGGCTGGCTTACCAAGCACCAAATGGTGTTTCGAAAATCAGACACAAAAACACAAGCAAGAATGCCGCGACTTTTTTTTTTTTTTTTTTTTTTGTGTCTCCGACGACCACCATGATAGCGGCGCTTCAACGCAGACTGCAGTGCGATCTCTCCCCTGACAACCTATGTCGCCCGATAAGGCCTCGTTTTGCCTTGGAAGTTGGGATACTTTACTCCCTCAACTTGCTACATCTGTAGGCAGTCCGTCCTTCAAGAAGGGCTTTCTTCTCGCGCAAACCGTCTGCCCGCCTCGCGCTTCGGCTCTCCCGACGGAAGCAATTACCCAACTTTTGTGCAGACTTGTGCTCGTTACTTGAAAAATGTAATGGATCACAATTACAAATTACCGAGGCTCAAATGTAATGGATTGCCGTTACAAATTACTTTCGCTGAAAAGTAACGGATTACTTTACTCGCTACGTTACAACTTACTTTCACGTTACATTTTCCGTACACTTATCCAGAAGACAAGAGAAACAATTTTGATATTTTTCAAAGATGTTCTGCAACACTACTTTAATTTCTCATATGTTCTATCATGGTAGTCCTTTTAAAAATAAAAATATTGTATTTAAGAGAAATAGTGTAGGTGCACTCCGTTCACCTGTAAGCTAACCAGGCACCGAAAGCTGCAACCACGCCCGCCATCCCGCTAGCTCACAGCCTCCGAAAATGATCCCTGGAATTATGCAAACAAAGCTAGTGTTTCGCATGCTCAGTAGCAGCGTCTACCTCGGCTACGGGTTTCGGAACTAAAGAAGCGATCTACGAAAGGCTCCCTCTTGACTCGGGTGTTCGCAGGTTATTCACAAGAAAAGAAAAACTTGGTTTTAACGTTACAATGTGTAGCCCAATGCAGAATGCAGGGGTCCGAGCTTACCTTGATGTGTTTCCATAGATTAGAGTTTGTTGTTCTTGCTAACGCCAATGTGCGTGCGTGTGTGTGTGTGTGTGTGTGTGTGTGTGTGTGTGTGTGTGTGTGTGTGTGTGTGTGTGTTTGGCAAGCAATGTACGCACTGGAACTCTAGGTTTTCGTTCTCCTTAATGCCCTGAATTTTGCACATCTCATTAAGAGATGGCCATGGAGACGACGGACACTTCATGACTGAAAACTAGACCAGTTAGAGAAAAAGTGGCAGTTACGGGTTATCGAGTGTTCATCGGTTCTCACTTTCATACCAATATTCGTGAAGCCCAGGGGAGGGCAGGGCGTAGAGAGCGAGAGAGGCGGTGTCCATCGGCTCACAAAGCAATAGAGGATCACAACACTTTCGCGCGTTCTCGCTCTCTCTCTATCTCTGTCAGCACTTCTTAGACGGCCTAACCCCCCCCCCTCCCTCCTTTGTGTTGACGGTGGACTGTAAAGTGATGAGTGGACTGGATGACCACGTCCAGACAAGTACACCAAAAGAAGTATCGTCCGTACCCTCGAAAACGGTGTTATTAGCCTGGCGCCGGGCGCTTTTCACCCGTGCGTCAAGAGCGTGCTACAATGAAGTAGCTCACATCAACGACAAAGAAAATTCTACCACCTCGCGCGAGGCTACCACGTCTGTTACGCCAGTTGTGAACCCGCGAATCGAGGGAGTACGGACCCGCGTTTGGTGTCTGTGCAGGTGGCGGGAGACGTTGAAGAAGTTGGAAAAGGTGAAACGGTGTAAAAGAATGAAATAAATAAACACAAAGAGTTTTCTCCTGCCCGGGAGAGGAAGAAAACACGATGGCAGTCGACAGCGAGCGTATTCGGCGTTGTCTTACGTGATCGTTGTCTTTTTTATATTTGTACATGTCTTGCCCGTTTTTCTAGTAGTTCTAGTAACCGGTCATACAAAAATTGGTGTTTTCCCTTACTATTTTTTTTATTTTGAATTTGATTGTTTTATGTTGCTCAATGTTCCCTTGTATTGCTCCAGTTTTTGTATCATGCTCGTATTTTTTAATAAGTAACGAGTAAGTAAAGTAATCAGTTACCAATATTCTGTAACAAAATTATATTACAAATTACCTCCGAAAAAAAGTAACGTGGCAATCACAAAATTGCTTGAAAAAGGAACACATTAGAAGTAATCCGTTCCTTGTAACGGGAGTCTGCTCGTGTGGTTGCTTAGACCACAAAAAAAAAAAGCGCCGTTGCAAGAAAAGGAAAAGCTAAAAGAAATGTTCATGGGCCTTGGGAAACGTGACCGTTGAAAAATGAAGCAAAACGAAGCCGGCTTGCTAGCTGTACAAAAACAGTGCGCTGCGCGTTCCGCGCATAGCCCACCCGCGAGTACAGTATGGGAGTGCTCCAGGAAAATGACCCAGCAGGGGAAGAGTGATCTCCCTGACTGTGTTACGAAAACTGCAGGCGACGGCTTTTTTTTTTTTTTCTATTTTCGAGGAGTTGCCGCGTCGTCCGCAACACTTTGCTTTACTTCGTAATTTTCTTCTGGAATTTTGTGGGCGAAGGTCGTGCCGTGATTTGGTGGGTATCCACCCGCAACAAAAACAGAGCCACGTCCTTTCCCTTAGCCAAGGACGTGGCTTGGCGGAGCTGAGCAACAACGGGAAAACGGAGGGAGCAGGGAGGGAGTGTGCAGTAGGCCTTGAGCCAAACGCAAGGGGGCTCAGCATATTACCCAGCACCCCCTGGAAAATGTTAGCGGGTGCTCAAGCCCCCGTTGCCCCCCCCCCCCCCCCCCCCCCCCCCCCGTTCCGGGGTCCCTGGGCGTGTCGAGCACCGAGCATTCTATTATCGCATCCTCGACCACTGAGATTGCGACATTAGCCGATAAGAACACCGAAGAACGATATTGCAAGGCAAGAGTAGTGAACATAACAACATACAACCTACGTTGTTTTAAACTGTCAGTTACTGTAACAGGGTTCAAAATTGCTTGAAATGTGCTCATTCTATATCAGTGGCAGTATCCCGGGCCTAACACTTCGTAAATGTAACATCCGTGAGAAGTAGAGAGCAAGAAAATAATTGCGTGATATGTTTCATTTCCGCACGCGACTTGCTTGCAAACAAAGACCGGAAATTAACGAAATCTGACAAGACTTTATTGCTACATGTCTTCTGTATGCCTCGCATCTGTGTTCTCCTGTATTACTATCCCAGTGTTAAAATTACTGCTTTATAAATATTTTTTGTGTGCGTCGTTTTGCCCTTTAAGAATGCATAAACTTCAGTGCAACACTCAATTAACTTTATAAAACCGCTGCACTAACAACCATGAACTTAATAAGATTGTGATTCAAGGGGAGTCTACCACTCTCAACAACAAAAATGATCTGGTCTGCGACAAGAAAGTCTGGGATGCTGAGATAAAAAAAGTTCCGTTTCAAGCGGAATTCCGGAGTGATTTTCCGAAGACCTGGTTGCAGGATGCACTTGACACGTTCGCTGTAAAGCACTAAAAAAAGCATAAATTTCAATTCAGCCACCACACTTTTTTCTTCAACGATACATTTCCCCTGGCAAGGACAACGCGAACGTTTTTTAAGCAAGGTAAGGTGAAAAAAGCTTCCTTTTAATTCAGATGCACTTTCCCAGATGTTTTCAATAGAGAAGTATGCATTATAGTTACTTACACAATTAATTGCACTTTGCTCGTGTCATAACTTGGATTGATTGGTCCCATCCGAAAGTACATTGTCCAACTCTTATGTGCCCTTTCTTCGAAATAATGTCCTTACCTTAAATTATTGATCCGATTAATTCATTTCAGCCTCTGTTGAATTTCGGTGGTCTAACTTTTTGCGGCGTTTAGTTTTACATTATACTGCAAATGACCAAAATAAGACTAAACTTCTATAATTGGTTAAGATTGCTTAGAAGTTCAGTGTTGTTGAGACTGTACGCTAATTACTTCAGCCAGATATTTATAGTGCACAGCAGTGGTGTGCGTCAAACTTGTTTGGCTCTAATTCTGGAAAACCTAGGGTCCACAAGAAATGATGTCGTTAATTAGCCTTACGGGGTGCCAAGGTTGTTTTTGTTTCTTTTTTCACGTTTTAATATTGTACGAGACAGAGGAGTTGTTATTTTTATCTCTTCAGAGGATTACATGGTGCTTCGGGAAGGCTTTATTTCACGTATTCCGAGACGCGCTTTCCGTATAATACGTATTTTTAAAACACAGAAAAACTAAATTTGTTCAATCAATTTTCTCACGAGGATCGAGTCCGATACACGGGTGTTTAATTTTAGTACCTTAACTCAAATATATAAAATTGAGCGCTTTCATAATACGTATCTGGGAATCGCATTGCACACATATTTCAACCCTACAATAGTTTGTTATTACAAATATCTCGCTCAGTAGCTAGAGCTTTGTACGCTACTTTATTGTCATGTGTTATTTACGTAATGATATCTGTACGCAAATATAAAACGATTTTTTTACATTTTGAGAACGTATGTGCACCCAAGGCTAATTCGATTTTTCTTTATCCTCTAACTTAAAACCACTTCTCGTTTTCGAAAGGTGTTGAACCAAGTATAAAAGGAAGCTGAAGAGTCATTTTATTACGGAAGAAATGCAAATGGTCTGAATGTAGGCTTCCTAAACATTATTTATAGAAATATTTTATCTTAATTGATTCGTAGAAGAGACGAATTGCTTGTTAAAATTAGGCCATAGCTCCGCCCGCTGCCTGGGCGTAGGAAGGAGGAAAAGCAGAAATAAAAACACTATCGAACGTTACGTCATGGGCGGTATCAGGCGACCGTTGCCTTCCTAGAGAAGCATGCTCGAAGGTGCCGACGGTGTCCTCCCGACGACTTCGACAAATAAGAAACGACAGAAAGGCTCCGCCGCATGCCTCGCTGTAATCACAGTGCGTTGTTTTTGTTGTTGTTGTTGTTTCCAAATAAAAGCAGCTTGCGTTTTCTTCTGCAATTTAAATACAAAAATCGAATTCAGAAAAAAAAACTATCGACGAAAGTTTCTTTTTTTAAGTGGTTTATTCCTTTTATCTTAATTGATTCGTAGAAGAGACGAATTGCTTGTTAAAATTAGGCCATAGCTCCGCCCGCTGCCTGGGCGTAGGAAGGAGGAAAAGCAGAAATAAAAACACTATCGAACGTTACGTCATCGGCGGTATCAGGCGACCGTTGCCTTCCTAGAGAAGCATGCTCGAAGGTGCCGACGGTGTCCTCCCGACGACTTCGACAAATAAGAAACGACAGAAAGGCTCCGCCGCATGCCTCGCTGTAATCACAGTGCGTTGTTTTTGTTGTTGCTGTTGTTTCCAAATAAAAGCACCTTGCGTTTTCTTCTGCAATTTAAATACAAAAATCGAATTCAGAAAAAAAAACTATCGACGAAAGTTTCTTTTTTTAAGTGGTTTATTCCCTTTGAAACTATGTAATCAAGTACTTTCCCTAATACTGTGGCTTTGACGTAATTCCCTGCACCTCAGCGCTGATTTTCTCAAAACTCATGCGCGTTCGCTATTTTGTATAACACGCACGTACAACAAAAAGACCCCAGCGAATGACGAAGACCAGAACACGATTGCACCTTAAAAATGCGATGCACTCGAGGCCGATGCGCAATTGCAACGTTATGTTCTTTGATCCTGCACACATCACATTTTTAGCGTCGAATCCTATTCGAAGCCCTTCCGCTGCCTGCAGCGACTGACTATATCAGTATTCTACAAAAAAACAAGCACAAGGATTTTTTCTTTTTTTTTTTCCGAATTTATGATTGTGGATAATGCAAGCGAAAAAGCGAAACGCTCAAGCTACGTCCAAATGATAAGAGCTGCACTCCGATGAAGCGAGAAGTTGAACTAGCAGCGAGAAGTGGCACGTCAACAAGAGTGTCATGGCCACTGCTATATGTGGCTCAACCTGCTTCGTTTCCTCATTTAGGGGTCGTTTGATGTGACTCGCTTTGGTTCTTTGCTACAGCCTACTCACGCGTGTTGTCGCCTTTATTACCTAAGCACGTGATCTTTGCACCAGCGAAATTTTTTTTCGGTGTCTTACGATAACTATAAACAAGTAGATTAGTGCCACGTGCGACTAATGTACTTGTTCTTGGAAAATTCGCAGCAACGACGCACAGTTCCCCAGACAAGATTAGGCTCAGGGCAATAGCGTGCATCTGTAACACTCTAAAAAAAGCCCGTGCGTCTCCTTTCCTGCACAACACACCGAGAGCCAATCACCGCAACTTACGGGGGGAGCTAAGCGAATGACGATACCGAAACATAAGTTTAGACCTAAAAACGAAGTCTGAGTTGTGACATTAAGTAATGCAAAACGTCACGTTTGCATTGCTTAATGTCACAACTCAGACTGCGTTTTTTGGTCTAAACATATGTTTCGGCATCGTCATTCGCTGAGCTGCCTCCGTAAGTTGCGGTGATTGGCTCTCCGAGTGTTGTGCGGCAAAAAATACTCGCGGGATTTTTTTTAGAGTCTATCTCGTACGCATGCTACCTCTCGTTGCTAGTTCAACTTCTCGTGGGGGTGCGGCGCCTCCGTTATCTTTCAATCATTGCTCGATCGTTTCGGTTTTTTATTGTTCACGACCACGCACTCGGACATTTCAGCATACACACTATTCCACTAGGCAATCGGAAAACCAAACATTTGCCTTCTTTATCAACTCAAACAATGAGGACGATGGCGGGCGATATCACTCCCCAATGATCCTACACTCTAAAAAAAGTCTGTGCGTCTACTTTCCCGCACAACACTCGGAGAACCAATCAGCGCAACTTACGGAGGCAGCTACGCGAATGGCGATGCCGAAACATCTGTTTAGACCAAAAAGCGCAGACTGAGTTGTGACATTAAGCAAGGCAAGCATGACGTTTTGCATTGCTTAGTGTCACAACTCAGACTGCGTTTTTTGGTCGAATAAGATGTTTCGGCATCGTCATTCGCTGAGCTGCCTCCGTAAGTTGCGGTGATTGGCTCTCCGAGTGTTTTGTGGGAAAGCAGACGCACAGACTTTTTTTTGAGTGTAGGGTATCAGTAGGGTAAGGAAAGTGACCTCGTTTTTACCACTAACGTAGGCATGAACACTTTGGTGAATGTAGCAGTTTCTGAGACGGTGAAGTGTTACGTTTCTTGAAGTTTCTTTAGTTCTTTTATATGAAGTGTGTGATACGCTGACGACTATATGTTACAATGTTGCTATTAGTTGTACAGCACGTGGCGCATAATATGTATGCAGTTGTCTCGGCGCAAGGAGAAAACAGCTATATACAAATATAAGTTCCAGCGCGGGATATCAGTTTTAAAACTGTAATGCTTCAAGGTGGAGGCTATCAGTCAGTGTCAACATCAAATGTGTCATAGCACAAATGTGTTTTAGTGTAATTCGTTCAGCTAAAGTGTGTATGTGTCTGAATAAAAAACACTGTTGTAAGCTAAATAATTTTATGAAGGTAAGAAAAAAATAGAAATTAAAACAAGAGCATTGATTGTCAGTTGTAGTAAGTGACAAACACAAAAACTCTCATTGCAGGAAAGTGCCTTCAAATGGCAGGTTTGTTTATCCTGGTTGCACTCGGGGGCGTCCTATACTGCGGTAAGCTACCTCGCCACCGCGGACTTGCCTCCACGCTTAACAAACTTACTTCCCAACAGCGTGCCAGGTTTTCCCGCCTACTTACAACCACGGTCGCATTTTGCCCGTGGTTTGCTACTACGAAAAGGGCCAGTCGTTGCGGCCGAACCCGGCAAACTACGACATTGGTGACGTGCCCGGACAATTGTGCAGTCACGTGAACCTAATCTACATCGAGTTGGACGAGCAAACATGGAAAGTGAAAGAAGATTCTACAGGTGAAATGAGTTAAGCCCGATTCACATGTCGCGAGTTTACTTCCGGTTCCGCAAGTGCGACGCCAAGCACCACACTTTCCACCACGTTTTTGTTTCTTTTTTATTTGTTTTTTGTCGCACGAGTGACGTCGTTTTGCGAAATCACAAATAATATTTCACCATGTGAATCAGGCTTTACCTACACATTTCGTTCTGCATGACTTGCACATGACGTTATCACAAGTATCATGCCCATCTCATTCCCAATTGTTATTGATGAGAGTAACGAACTCGGTGGTGAGAAATAAATGTTTCATAAGATTCTTACATAGCAGCAGAGTCCTTAAAAATGACCGCTGATTTGACGACATTGCCAGCCATGCACAGCTGCCTAGTCCTCAAGAACATAAAGGCATAGAAAGTCTCGATCTCCTATTATCCCCCGGCAGTCAATGAGACCGCAGAATTTTTTCAGGAAGAACAATCACGAATCAATTCTGAAACGATGCAAAATGTCGTGATTGAACGCAGGGTGTAGCGACTAGCAAGCATCGAGAATCTTATTATCACTACTTAGTAGAATTACCCAATAAAAACGTTTAGGAATAAACTCAAGAAAAAGCATTGATATGATTAATCAAGTCTTGCGTTTTTTGTTTTTTTTTCAACTGTCATTGACAATATGTTGCCAACTGCTGAGAGATAAAGCTGGGACCTGTGCCCAATGAAGGGGGCACCGAGTGACCAAAGGATGGTAATTCGTCTCTCTGGTCGCCAAACCGTATGTCATCCAATCGTCGCTGTATGCCGTTAGGCTTCTATTATTTCACAAACATATTAACACTGAATTGCGTTGACGAATGAGGGCAGAAACGAACGACATAGGTTTTCTTTTTTTTTTTCCCCTTTCAGTGAACTTTACGTCGTTCAACCAAATCAAAAGAAAGTTCCCAAGAGTGAAAACCTTTCTCTCCATCGGCGGGTGGAGTAACCAGACGAAAGTGATATCAACGATGGCCCTTGGGAACGAGAGTCGTCGTTTGTTCGTTGACGGAATTGCGGAAACATTGAGGCAGCTAAATTTCGACGGGCTCGACATCTTTTGGCTCTATCCGGGTCATGCTGAACGAGGTGGCAGGAGAAGCGACAAGGCTAATTTAATTCAACTGCTGAAGGTGGGTCTATATACATTACATTGTCATCGGTTTGCACACGTGAGGAATGCTGACGCGTGGTGCCATTTGCTTATATTCCCTTTGTTTCTGCACAAATGCATTAGCTGCTTGGAACGAGTTTCCAGCGTTCGAGTCAATGTAAAAGTAAAACGAACTATTGGGACCAACAGCTTAAGAAGGTTTAATGCATGGCGAGCCCCGATGATTTTATTATCTCTAATCAGCCTCTGAGATTGTGACAACAGCCGATAAGAAGCCAAGGAACGAATCACAAAGCAAGAAGCGGAATCGTAATAAACCACGCCCCGCTGCCAGTTACTATATCTTTCGGTTAGAGTGATAAAAGAAAAAACTGCCGAAACGACGACTGGGAATACGTATACAAATATTACAGTAATGTAGTTCCTCCTTTAGGCGTCCCCTTTAGTTTGTTCAAATGAATGCGCACGTTATCCGAACAGTGTCTCAACTGCGATGTGCAATGTCTTGTGGCATATCACTTTATTTCTTCCAAGAGTAAAACTCAATTTGATAAGTGTTCTTGGTCTCGTAATCTTTAAAGGATGCGCCACCTGCACTTTCGTAACCCATTTTTCCTCCTTGCTTTTTTCTTCTTTCTTTCTTTAGAAGTTAAGAAGAGTTTTCAGAAAACGAGGTCTCCTCCTCACAATTGCAGTATCCCTCAACAAATACATCTTAGACAGGGGATACAACATACCAGAGATTGTCAGGTACGTTTACTAGATCAATGTTATTCTGAACAAGATACGCATTTTGACTCGCTTTTCTGCAAGACAAACCTATTGCCTGTCCACAAAATGCTGCACGCGTTTTACTGCTCATATACCACCTATCAACCTATCAACGCCATGCCTTTCAAGTCGCTGAAAGTTGAAGATACATCAGCGCTAAAGTGCCGTATTGATCCTCATTAACTATCCTTCTACTCCTAGATATAGTTGTACGTATACCGCACCTTGATGCACTCTAAAACCAATCCCCGGTGTATTTTGGTCAGCTGAGTCGTTGAAGAATAAGCGCAAACGTTATTGCAACATAATGGCTATCCATAACAAAAAATATATTCGAGTTCGCTTTACTGAAGCACACGAAGGCAGCCAATCCCAGAAAGCTACAGGATACCAGAGAATGAAGAAGCTCGCAATACGATTTGACCAAAACATGCGATGTGCATGGGTCCAATCACCATGACTACCTGTGGATCGTGGCAAACGACGAGGTTGAAAGTGTGTTTAAACCTAAGAAACGGTCTGTGTTGTGATACTGAGCATGACATTTCACAAATATCAGTGTCACAAAGCAAGCCGTTTCTTTTTTTTTTTTTTTAGCGCTCCAGATTTTTGATAAGTGCATTGAGAACGATACAATTAAAACGTCCTGTTTTCAGATACGTGGATTGGATGAACGTAGTTGGCTACGACCTCCGAGGTATTTGGAATGATCGTACCGACATCCACAGCCCTTTGTACCCGCGAAACATTGACAGCGAGGAAATGGCGGGCCTTAACGTGGTAAGATAAAAAAAACAAGTGACTTTATCCTGTTTCCTTTCGCCAGTTAACATAGGAAGGTGTGAACACAACTCAACCAAAATGGACGCCTTTAAAAAACCAGTCGAGCAACCATGAGACAGTTGTTACGCCGAAGCAACGTTATTAAACCACTCAGTTGGGAAACTGCCATAGAGACTGCTTCAAAAAAGTGACCCCGATTTGTCCTCGAGCACCGAGCTAATGACGAACACAACGCCACCATTTCTCCCGCAGCGGCCATTCGAGGAACCGCACGTTACTTCTATTTTGGCTTTAATCGGCTACTTTGGCGCCGAAACAGATACAGTGGAAGAGGTTACATGAGTAGACCCCTCTCTCTACAGCGAACGCGCAGCGTCTTCCTACCGAAGTTAAAATGCACCTAGGTCGGGACGCGCTACCTGAAAGCACCGCTGAGGCATGGTTGTATAAAAACAATATTAATTGTGCCACAAAACCTTGCAAACTAACGATTTTAAAAACATCACGCGCCCTTCATTTTGTACGAAACTCCAATATATTTCATACAAAAAGAGTCTTTTCCGTTTGTCTTTACGCAAAAACAGGCTTTCTAAAAGCTCAAGGTGACCACAGTACAGACAAATGATAAAGAGTGGCGCTGTTGTCGTATTTAGCTCGGTCTCGGCGGACGCCAGCGGCCCAGGTTTTGACGGCGAGTTTCCCAACTGAGTATTTTAGTAACGTCGCGCCGAAGTAACAGTATGCACTCTAAAAGAAGCCCGTAGCGTCGACTTTCCCGCACAACACTCGCAGAGCCAATCACCGCATCTTACAGAAGTAGCTCAGCGAATGACGATGCCGAAACATATGTTTAGACCAAAAAACGCAGTCTGAGTTGTGACATTAAGCAATGCAAAACGTCACGCTTGCGTTGCTTAATGTCACAACTCAGACTGCGTTTTTTGGTCTAAACAGATGTTTCGGCATCGTCATTTGCTGAGCTGCATCCGTAAGTTGTGCTGATTGGTTCTCCAAGTGTTGTGCGTGAAAGTAGACGCACAGACGTTTTTTTAGAGTGTGGTGCCTGGAACGCGTCTCCGAGTGGTGTGTTTAGCGCGCCCAAAAAAGTGGTCCCTCGATTTTCGCCTGATGACGTCATTCAAGTGTCATGCTGTCGCCGGTCGCGATCCTGGTGGCGTCCCAACAGCGGTGGTGTTTATAGCAGATGCCTGATCTGCTCCAAGTCGCTCTCAAGTGTGGCGGTCCACGGAAGTTTCGGCAGCCAGAAGTTGGGACGCCATGACGACAGCGACACTCGTGTTCGGATGTGCTACTCGCAGCCTTCTCGTTAGCATTTCTACAACCAGCCGCCGGGATCGCGACACGCAACAGCATGACATTTCGGCTTCTGTGACGTCATTTGTTGCCACTTTGGGACCACTTTTGATGTATGGGCGGGATAGGACGCTGAACACACCAATCGAAGACGCGCTCCAGGCGCCATAGTAGTAGACCCTTTTCAAAAGTTCGTGCCATTTCCCGTCCGCCCTTACTTGCTCACGTGCTCTGAACATGTGTTAGACGCGAGTGCTGACGTCAGCGTTCGGCGAGGACTCGGATCCAATCACGCGTTTTGTGCTCAAGAAATGGCGACCATCAATGTTGCTTTATAGACTTTTGAAAAGTGTGCAGAAGCGATGGCCCCTACCGTATTTGCCCAAGTAATAGCCGCACTTCTTATGAACAAGGCCCTTGCGTCGGCTTTTAGGCAAAACGCACAAGCAACCAATATAGCGTTCTGCCTAAAAAAACGCAGCGAATAACTAGGTCCAAACTGAGCAGATAGCATTTTCGCGTGAAGACGTTATCTCTGTCCCGCAAATCACTGCCATTTTTCTAGCGATCGCGGTGATTCGCTATCCCCGTGCTCCGCGAAAAAGCCGACCCACAGACTTTGTTCATGAACAACGCGGCTATTATTCGAGCAAATACGGTACACTCTAAAACTTCAAGTGCGTTTACTGTACCGCGAAAGACTGGGGACTGCCCATCCCTACAATCTACGGCGGGAGCTCGGCGAGTGATGAGGCCAAAAAATGAGACACAAAGAAATATTCTGCGCAGTGACACAAACCGTGACTAAAGAACGTGAAATGACATGCTTTGTGTCACTGCCTAGACAGTTATTTTTAGGACTAATCATTTTTTTAGCCGCATCTTTCGCCGGGCTCTCGCTTCAGGTTGTAGCGACGACATAACTGTCCCAAGTGCTCTACGGGAAAGTAGGCGCACCAGATTTTTCAGAGTATACTTGTATAAAGTCACTGGCAGGTTTAGAAAGACGGGGCGTGGCTTATGTTCCCGCTGCTAGCTTGCCGATTCCTTCGTTGGGGTTCTTATCGACTGATATTGCAATATCAATGGCTGCAAAGAAAAAAACAATAAGATGATGTGAACTCGCCACGTACTGCGTTTCTTAAGATGCAAGCAACTACAATACTGCTACTATATCTCCGAAATCCACGCCAGTAAAGTAATATCTACAGCAATTGTCTAAAGGTTCGTATTCATCATGTGAAGTTCTTTGCAGCGTTGCGGCATACACCGCCTTTCCCACGCGCCCGTGCATTTCTAGCGAAAGCGCTTGTTCGGGAAACTATTTTAGCGATTTTGCGGAACTTCGATCTTGCGGCTGGGTATACACAGCTTGTGTCGCAAGACGGACACAATATTGACACAGCACCACCTGCTGCGCGGCAATGGCTCTGGAAGCGAGCTCGCGGCAACGGAAGAAACATACATCACACAATCACTCATGCAGTCCACAATTTCGATGCACACGATTTCTCGTGGATGTGTCTATTCCCCGTGCAATAGCGCGTGTGCACTAGCTTTGGCGGTGAGCTCTCTCACACAGTCTGTGCTGAGACGCTGATTCTAGCAAGCCGGCCCAGAAATTTGAATCAGATGTCCGGGAAACCGGGAGTGTCAGCTGGTGTCATGTAGCTTGCGCATACCATATGGGGTAACCGAGCTGGGTTTGATAGACTATTGGGATTCTAATGGATCTGATCTCAGACGCCTTTAGCGATCAAAAGCAATGTCCCCCCCCCCCCCCCCCTGAACGCACGGGTGGGGATTGCCTGTTCCGCGTGAATTTGTATGACGCAATTTCTTCTTAACTGACGTATTGACGCGTTTCAAAAGAGAAACATAACTTGATTTTTTTTGTTTTTTTGGTAAACACTTGGTATTTTTGGAGTGCATTTGGGGACGTAACAGTGGGTCGGGATGTCAACGAGTATGCACACCGCCACCTGATGCTCGAACTCAACAAAGCAGCAGTGGCGGATATTTTGAAGTTCGCGCAGCCGGCGCAAGAGGAGTCGAATTTCGAAAAAGGGCATTTTAAGTTATGAACTCGTGCGAGCATCGTGGTTTCTATTCTGCTGAATCAAATTCCCCATATTCAAAACGTCTACGAGTGGCATAAAAACTCTTTCGTCGAACCTGAAAAAACTATTTTTACTTTTTTTATTGAAAACGTATGTGATTGTTTTCAGGCCCTGATCACTTCCTTTTGACTTTTACTACCTGTTGTCGTTGTCGAGAGGACTTTCTGCTGCTTCTGTGTTGATATTTTTTGTATAATTCCTGTAGCCAGTGGTAATAGAAAAGCTAAAAAATATTTGTTCACTCCACTTTGAATTTGTTTGCTGCCTTGCTAATGAGTGTCGTCAGAATGACTGCAAACGTTTTGTTTACTTCAAATTTAAACTTTTTATTGCTTTTCTATAGCCAGTCTCAATAAAAAAAAATATAGATGTAGACGTTTGGTTTACTTCGCTTTACAACAGTTGTGTTCATTTCCGGTTCGCAAAGTCATCATAAAGTTCTCAAACGTTTTGTTGACCCCCTGTTGAAAATGATCTGCTATCTTCCTATAGCCGGTGTAAATCGACCTTGGCCAAATTACCCAAGCACCAAAGAAAATGATACGAACATATCTGCATCCGCTGCACACGGTCGCCTAATGACTATAGTGGTTCCTAGTAAGGAAATTAATAAAATAAAGCGCTCACGCACGGATGTGCGACGTGTAACTTTTTTTTTTAGAGCACAGCTTTTAGGCGCTCGTTTCTGGCTTGAGCGGCGTCGGCGTCGCCGTCGGCGTCGCCGTCGGCGACGGCGTAGTCGCTCGGTGCATGATGGGTAAATTTTCCCGCTAAATTTAGCGGAAAATTTTTCCCTAAATGGGGGCGAGGAGGAGAGGAGGAGGTGCATAGCCCCCTCTCCGTACCTTCCCCTCCTCCCCCTCAAGAGTTGCGCTCTAATTCGGCGTTACAGAGAATTGTAAACGGCTTTTTTTTTTTTACATTTTTGCTTTCGAAAAGATACTGCTACGGACGCTAACACGTGCAAGCGTGTAAACAGACTCGCAGTATGATACTTGGTGCTTGGGTAGTATAGCAGAATCTATAGACCTTTTCGCATAACCATACTTGCGTACAACTGACGCACCCTCGAACCGGTGAATTTTTGGATTGTCCGCTGGCCCAGGGTATGCAACCGCTAAGAGTGTGGGCAAAAAAGCTTAGAGACGGACGTCGTGAGTGAGTAAGTTCCGAGTGTTCTTTTTTTTTTCTTTTTTTACCATGCTACATTTTTTTGAAAATCTACGGTTGTCTGGCTGTCCCTGCTTCATCGTCGGGTCCATTAATAATTTTAATAAGTGTAAGAACAATCGCGGAAAGTGTGCGATGAGCCCACAAAGCTGAGAGCGAGTGTGGCTGCAATGTTATTAAGCTTCACATGTTCACGAAGGATCCAGATTTATTAAGTCAGTCGATTTCGAGTGCGAATCGTGAGGGCTTTGTATCAGACTCGTCGCCAGGTTTATACTCACGACTACCTCGTCTAATCAGAGCAAACCGATTCCAACCCGGTGACGGTACTCCGAACAGGTTATCACTAAGAGGTATGCTATTAATCCATGGAATGTGAAGGATATAAAAACGTCTCCGTTCCACCACTCAAAATTGCAGTTGAAGCTCAATCGAGAGACCCCACCACTCTCGTTCTCGTTATTTTAAGCAGGAAAGGCGATAGCCTATTATTAGCTAGCTCAGTGAGCCAGCTCGATTCACCCGGTCAAGTTCCAGCCAAGTTATTGTAGCCCACCATAGCCTAGTCTAGTCAAGTTCTTTCCATACCCACACCATTCCATACGCAAACAGCTGTGCTGCCACAGCCGAACAATACTTCAAGTAGCAAGCCTCTAGACGGTGTCGTCGACGCAACAATTCTGAAGATGGCAGCGCCTTTAAAAAGGTCTATATTAAAACTACATACTTTTGTTAACTCCTTATTGAATACTTTTTGACGCTGTCAAAATTTTACTCTGTGTTCCTCTATTAGTGACGTTCTTGACACTATTAAACTAGATAACTACAAGTAGAAAAGTCAACAATAACAAAAACATTGCTTAGCAGTTACTGTGACCGGCCGCCTCACCCTGAATGGTGCAATGCAGAGATTTGACAACATGCCAAACAGGAACCGATTTTAGGGATCTTGACTTAGCACTGCATCGAGTAATCCTTGACTTTCAGTAAGAGACCGAGCATATGAACCTCGAAGCATACTGTTGTGCATTTGAAAAAGTCGTGTGAAAAGGAGATCGTACTCGGAACCTTATTAAATGTTGAGAGGACCATTGAAATCAATTTTGCCCTTAGAATGTGGGTCATATTAGACGGTGGAGCAGACAGAAAAACAGTGATTCATGGACTCTGCTTGCTTCGTAGCGTTTGCGTTAGCTTCTTCTGCGTACATGAGAACCGCAGGTGGTGCATTTTACATCTAGAAGTCATAAGAATCAAATGAAATATTCCTGAAATAAGCTATTTGAACATATAAAAAATGTTGTTATATATTTTTTTAATTCATTTGTCGGCCTTATTATGTGCAGCCTACCAGCTGGAATCCAGCGAAAATTCGATTTAAATCATTCCAAACATATTGTTGAATTCAAACTCATATATTTATACCATTCTTTCTTTTTGAAACGGGTAACTTTTTGCTGAAAACGTTGTAAGCTTTTACGCGAAAGGCTAAAAAAGGACCGACTCGGAGACGACAGAAAGTCTGTCGACATTCGAATAAAAGCTGGGCCAATGTTCGAACAAAAAATCTGCTTAAAAGCTAGAGGGAAGTGTGATGAAGATATGTTGCCATTTAGGACTTATTTTCAAGCGCTTTTCAACCAAAAAGCTTTACAGCTTTTTTTATTTTATTTTATCTATGGGTTATCAGCTTCTTTTAATGGTCACCACAATCTATGGGACCCCTCGCGTAGCACAAATATTTGCCTGCAAAAGAGAGCGTGTTTAGCAATAGAAGCGTCTACGGTATTAATCATAACTATATTTTTTGTCGTTTATTAATTTTTTTTCCTGGCAGCAAGAAGGTATGCAGGAGATTCTAGACAGAGGGGCCGTGAAGCGAAAGCTGGTCCTCGGAATTGCATTCTATGGACGGGTGTATCGCCTCGCCGACCCCAGAATAGCGGGACTCCATTCGCCGATCGACAAACTTAACAGGCCTCGAGCTGGAGCATTTCTGGGGAGCGATAATATTCACGCTTATTTGGAGGTAAGGCAGCCCGCAAAATTTTCCTGGTGTTTTATTTAAGACTGTTCGCCAACGATTTCCCCCTGGCGTGTTGCTTTTGTCGACCATAAATAGTGGCGAGAACAATGATAACGGTTAACGGTCACTTCTAGCAAGGCATGTCGACCTCGGAGCATCTTGGTGTCGATCTGCAACCAATTAAATTGAGACACCGAATAAGAACACCGAAGAACAAATCCCGATGTAAAAAGCGTGAACGTTGTCTTTCTTAAGCTCTCGGTGGCAATAATAATGTTCAGACTTCGTTCGTTGAGTCATTAGTTCATTGATTGCAGACTTGCTTTTGGCGTAAAAACAAAAATGCGAAAGCTACTTTTGGAGTAGACAGAAGCTGCATTCAAAAGCAGTCGTCACTGTTTAAGAACGACGGTACAGTACAAAATATTTGAATGTTTGAAAACTGCGTGTTTATACAAGGTGTTTTTCTTATGCATTACAGATTTGTTTGTTTGTTTCATGTTTTTTTTTTTTTTTAATCTGTGAAAGCTACATTGATATGGTCTGTACAGGCGAGTTATACGGTCATGGGGGACGTAATACAGGTGCCGAATTATTACAATAACTAGTTTAATTAACTTATCTTTGTTAACTAACGTTTTAATTATTGAAGATAAAGATATGGTTTTAACCAGAAACTTTCTGGGCGTCATCGGAAACTACTAAATGTGCCAATTTTTGAAAGATTCTGGGGCGCGTGGGAGGCGCTAAAGTTACCTTCGTGCAACGGGCACAATGCTGGCGGGGTGAATAGCACGGGCGTGTTTTCGCGCCACGAGCCTTCCGTTTGTTGTACGAGTAGTAAATTTGCAAAACCTCGCTTCCCACACGCCCCGCCTCTTATTAAATTCATTGATTTGGCTGTTTTCGATTACGCTCAGCGAATTTCTGAATGGAATAATATATATATATATATATATATATATATATATATATATATATATATATATATATATATATATATATATATTTAAGACTTATCCTGAGAATTATCTTTCACGATAATGTCCGCTTGAAGGTATAACTCACCTGCACAACCCGAATAAAGGTACCTTTTATGACTTTTCTTTTAAACAAAAATCTAAAGCCTTACCAAAAACACCAAGCATACGCCAGTTTCACAGGACAATTAAATGACTGCGCATTTTATATTTTTGCCAAAACGCTGAAACGCTAAAAGTTTACTCAAGCAAGAAGGATAGAACTGTCTACTCAACCATGAATTTTCCTATGCAGGCATGCAACTTCAGTAAAAAGCCTTTCTATTAACTGCGCGATTCTTAATTGACTAGATTCAATAACAAAATTAAAGCAATAATCACACTAAAACCTACCTCCATATAAAAGCCGGAACACCAGAAATTATAAAATTTGTCACACGTGGTTCAATCATCTCCAGAACCCCTTAGAACGAAGAAATAATACAGCTTCAATGAAAGCGAAAATTAGCTCCTCGTGGACTTGCTGCGGAACATGAACGGAGCATAAACTCGGGTGTTTTTTTACTGCAGACTGGGCGAGTTGGTAAGGCATGATCCACGTACCAGCGTACGGGTAGACAGGTGTAAGTGTATTTTTCGAGTGCTTGGATTTACTGTGTGACTGTCTATCTGTGCGTTGATACGGTGATCAGGGTTGTTGTTGTTGTTGTTTTTATTTCTGAATATCGAAGTTTATTTAGTACAAGTGACTTGGGGGCTTCAAACCACGACTTGGACCTCCTGCACAGATCTGTCTCAACTTGAAGAGCGGGGCATGGAGGAGATACTTCGATTCAGAAGGACAGTGCCCGTACGCCACAAACGGAGAGGATTGGGTGGGCTACGAAGATGAGGAGAGCATTCGTCAAAAGGTAGGATTAAGTTTGAAGATCATGCATACTACGCTTACTGGCACGTGTTACGCACTCGTCGTGCTCCAGAGGCCCTGTCACTGTCTGTCCCTCCACGTGTGCATGCATAATTTATTGTTTCTATGCTTAATAAACACGTTATCATTACCTGCAAGTGTCAAGAGCCATACTAAAATTATCATCCGCGTTTTTTGCACCGCCAGCATTGCGTCTCTTACACGAGTGGAAATTTTAGCGCACCACCAAGCTTCACGCACTCTTCAAGTCTTCCTGAAATTTACTGATTTCGTTCCTTTTGATAAAGCTCAGCACGTTTTTAATTGGAGCTATATGTCTATTCTCCCAAATTGCCAAATTTCAGTTACTTCTCGGATTTCCCGTGACGGTTAGCCCCCGATATTACGTCCACCAGATTTGCATTTGCGAATTTCCAAGCACGGGTGGCGCAATCCCTGTAAATTACAAGATCGTTTACGAGCTCTGAGCCGCCGTCCCTTCACATTTCATATGTGCTCAATTAGATTAACATCTGGGGATTTATGTGGCGTGGACATCAACTGGAATTGATCGTTATGCTTTTCAACCAACTGTAAGAAAATTATGGCCTTCTAAGTTATGCCCTGTATCAAGGCAGGAGCCATTAATGATGAAACTGGTCAATAATAATGTTGACATAGCCCGCAGCTCTCACAGTGGGCTCTACAACAACTACATGTCCCGGGGATGCCCGTGAAAACTCCCCCCAAGGCATAATACTCCAACCACCGACTTGTGCGCATTCAGCAGCACATGCGTCGAGGGCATTCCCTTACACGGCTAACGATGTCATGTAAAAAAATTTTGTTGCATCCAACCAGACATCTCGTTTGCATTGTTTCATGGACCAATCACGAGGGCACGTGACGTCAATTTTCCCGCTAAATTTATCGTGGAACCTCAGTTTGTTTATAGGTCCCGTAACGTCAGGTTACCTGACATCAATTCTCTCGCCAAATTCAGCTGGGAAACTGGATTGGTGCATGGGTAACGTGACGTCAATTCTTCCGCTAAACTTAACGGGGTGCTTGAATTTGTCTGTAGGTCCCATGACGTAAGGTCACGTGTCATCAATTTTCCCGCCAAATTTAGTGGGGAAACGTTTTGTTTACGCTCACGCCGTCGCGAAACTGAGGAACAAGTCACTAACAGCTACCGCTGAAAAAAAAAAAAAAAAAAAAAAACTCTTGGCATATGTGGCGTTTATTTCGGTGAACAAAAACATGTGAACACGAAATAAATTTTTGTTTCATTTCTTCCTCGCAATAGGCTTGGCTGAGAAAAACACCACTGTTATCTTTTCATCCGGGGGAATTCCGAACCTTGACTCTGGTGAAAGATCGGCGTCCTATTCAGCGTCATATTCAGGCGGACTCTCGGCTTTTTACTATGCGTAGCTTACTTGTGAGGGGCGAAAGATAAAGTTTCCTTTTTTGGTGAAACAATCTGCGAACATATGGAAAGCAATCTAGGAAGACCGAACTCCAAACCCACCGATAGTTCATTATCGATAAGTTTTTCGATTGTATATTACCAATTGTGTTTCTACGATATTCACTTGTTAGTTTTCCTACAATATACTATCAGTGATTTTTCCATGGGGCACAGTCGAGGCTTCACAACAGGGTTTCATATCGTTTCACCATAGGTGTCCAAACCTTTTGTGTGTTTTTTTTTTTTTTAGATCGTTTTCCGACATTTAGGTGGAAGTTCTCAATTTCACTGCAGATTTTTCTTACATTTGATAAGATTTCTTGGCTGCACACTTGAAGCGTTTTTTTGTCTATCAAAATCACTATTCCGATATTTACTTGAATCGACAATCGATAATACTATTGACAGTTTTACAATTGTTGTTAATTTATAGTTTTACGGTAGTCTTCTATCGGTTGTACTACCGGCAGTTTTACGATAGACGACTATTGACAGTAGTGTAGAGAGTTTTTAAATAGCCCATTATGGATACTGGTGTCAATCTTTTTTTCCTAACGAAAGTTGAATCCGGCTTTAATTATCGATAGTATCGAGTGCACATCAATATGTTTGCGCCAGTAATGGAGTTTGACATCTTCGGCAGGGCGTAGATAACTGTTTCTAAGTCAACCCATGCCATAAGCAGGTCCCGATAGCTCCTCTCGGGTTCTCCTAGAACCTTATCTGCTGTCTTTTAGGAATGACGTATGATAGTGTTTTATCAAGTAATGTCGTTTTTTGGGCATGCAGATAAGACAGAGTTTATGAAAAGACTAATTATATTCTATACTCTTAGCCCGATTCTTTTCGCACTGTTATTTCTCCTATCAAAGCACAATGAAAAAAAAAAAACATTTTTAAAAAAGCGAATTCCGACTTTTTTACAGGTGGACTTCGTCAGAAGAGAAGGCTACGCTGGGTTTGCAGTCGTCAGTGTTGGCATGGACGATTTCAGAGGATGGTGCGGTGCACGAAACGGTCTTCTGGAAGTCATCAACAACGGCATTCCTTACGAGCGGCTTCCCATTATTGTACAAAAATAGATTTACGTCGCTGCAATTCGTTATACACGCGCGCGAAGTAAACTTACCGCCCATCTCAGTCACTGCCCACACAGCGTGTAAAGCCAAATATTCACTGGAAAATTCTCCTTAAACACGCAATTTGCTGCGGTCTGCTTCTCTGTATTTTTCAGGGGCCCGAAAAGTAATTGAATATCTGCATATAGAGTATACTATTTATTCCACGTAGATTCGTTTACTCATTGAAGATCAAAAAAGTATAGTTTAATCAGTTATGACATTCCTTTAATCAGTTATGGCCTTCCTTTTATCAGCTATGAATTGTGTGCTTGTCGAGCCAGGCACAGAAGCCTCTAAGGTTCAAACCGGCTTGATACTGAATGTTGCAAATATATATATTAGGAATAAAGTTTTTGTATTCTATTCAATTCTTTCCCCCTGACACTTTTAGGGTATGTATAAACGAAGCTTGGCGGTTGGTTATCCGCCATCTTCAACATATTTTGAAACAACCTTCAGTGCAAGCAAGATAGACGGATTCACCGTAAAGGTTACGTGTTTTTATTTTTGTGACATATAATATGTCACAAAATATCATGTTCAAACGCGGAATCAGCAAGGCTCGACAAACGCCTATGACGACACTTAGTGTCGGTGACCGCTTGGCAACGTGGACACGTCGGTTTCCTATAGGTATGCATTGTTCCGCTTGAGCTCCGGAGCCAGTGAACCGAAGCCATGCCTGCGTGACTCGGCAGCAATCAACATTACGTCGAAACATGAGGCATAGCCTGATTACTCCAGGTCAGATAGTTTTCGCGTGCCAGCATGATGAGACATGATCTTCAAATAACAGTTCCTTTAAATAGCAGTTCGGTACGTAGATGCGTCGAAGATATGTTTATTCTAGTGATGTGCGATTACCGGTTCAAATCAAATAGCGCTGATTTAGTCCTAGCTTTAACATTGTTAAGCAAACCGGTTGTCCTGGTTTTCCCTTCTACTGTGAAGGTTGTGAATGACGCAGTGCTATACGGTTTGAACCGTTGCTCGCCCACTCCTAGTTTATTCGTATCTATACTACCGTGACTCGATAAAGCCGAACCTTTGTTCAAACCAGACGAACAAAGGCGACTGAACTGCGGTTAAAGCGAGATATCATACTGGGAAGAAAAAACCTTTCACGGCGACTTTTTCATGACTAAGCATTGTTGCAAGGGAAATTGTCAAAACGTAAAGATATTCGTACCGTCCTACACGCGCGATTCCAATCTGAGTATAGAGGCACTAAGAAACACACACTATTGGTAACCTAACAATTAAGATATGTAATATTTACACTGCCTACTAACTTATTGTGATTTACAATTAACGATGTATATGAATTTCTTGGAGCAACCGCCGAACGTCAGATCCCTAAATAAATTAATGAGCCTCACACACAAATGACACAATCAATAATAAAAACCGGATTTAAAGGTTCTCCTGAAATTCTCATCAATGAAAGCGACACTCATTCGTTCGAGTCGTGCTCATTTTTGGCTTTCTAACAAAGAAATAGTGTCAAATAAATTATTGGCTCACACAAAACTACTCTGTAAGAATCATCTAGATACTGACCTGTGTTTGCGCTGCTGAATGGGACCTTTATGGGAAATCGGCCCTCCCTGCCTCCAGCTGCTGATTTTAATTGAAAATTTAAATACCACTTCTTACATTTCAACGACTTGAAATATAGTTCCTCTGTGAATCATAATGACGCGGTGGAGTTCTTTGATACTCAGAAGCAGCTTGACGCGCGCCCCTCTGATGGCACTCGTGTTGCTTCAAAGTTGCCGAACTGTTTTACAGATCCCCGTGTTTCACTTTTGCATCAAACATAAATCGAACCAACTAAATTTAATACCTTATTTTGCAATCCGAACCTAAACACCTCTAAAGTATTATATTAATTTACACCCTAGCCGCAGCTGAGGTTATTTTGCTTACAGAAAGATAGCACGTCGGTACATAAACTTGCACTACATCAAGCGGAAACCCCCCATAAAACACGCTCTGATGGCACCTTTCATTGTAACATATCGCATAATGCAATGAAATTCCCACCAACGCAAACACCTTGTGAGTGAATTCTCTGGGCAACGGAATTTGTACAAACCTCTCCAACTACGTCATATCATCTGATCCAATAGACGCAATCAGGAGAGAGAGAGAGTGTGTGTGTGGGGGGGGATACCTTTTCCTTCCACGAATTGGCAAATATTGCGTTCGTTGCGCTCCAATACACCTGGCTCGTGCGTGAGGGCAGAGAGAGAGAAAGACAGAGAAGAGCAAGGTGTGCCAGCGTGCAAAGCCCCCAAAACAAACGAGGTGTCTAGGGAAGCGGATGCATCTTCGTTGCGATTTCATTTCTTGCTACTTTTTTGTTTCTTTTTTTTTTCAAAAATGACGATAAGCGCGTGCGTGTCGCCGGTTTCCAGTTCCGTGGCCAACCCTTTCACCCGAGATCCTGTTGCGCAAGTCGCCCCTTGCCAAAGTCCTTGCGCATGCGCCGTCGGCGAGTGGGAAAAACAGGGGGAGAGGGCTGACGGACAAGGTCTTCTTCCTGCTGCATGCGTGGTGTAATACGTACACTGCCTCCTACGTTCCCTCTGTGTGCTTATAAACAGCCGGTCCATCTCGTTTCGAGGAAGACGCTCTAATCTCGTTTCTGGCGGGTGAGTTCTGGCAGAGCGCCTCTTGCGTTTTCTTTTGTCCGTAATTATAGACCGAAACCCATCGGAGCAAGGAAAGGGCCCTTGCGCGTTCGTGTACGATGATGTACGATGATGTGCAATATACGATGTTGAAAGTGCCTGTATTACATACATATGTATATATATAGAGAGAGAGAGACATTATTGTAGGGTGCCGAAAAATATATAGGGAAATTGGCATACTTTGAAGGTTACTTTTGATTCGCATAACTAGCAAATCCCTATTTTTGCGGCACAACCTAACTGTGTGCCATCAAGTACAAAATACTGCTAAGCCCCCTTTTTTGAACTTTAAGATTGGGATGCAATTGTGGTTTTCTCTTGTGTGTATGTAAACAGCCGAAATTATGCGGGCCAACTGGTGATCAACTGTGACCATGGTATCTTTGAGGTCATGACAAATATAGAATTCAGACGATGTCGTGGCTTTGAAGGTTATTATTCATTAACATACCTAGTGACTATTTATTTCTACGGAGCAACCCTAGTTGGTGTCCGATCAAACAGAAAATAATGCTGAAACCACTTTTTTGTTTCTTTATTGATTTCTTTTTTTTTTCACTGAGATGTTTGTCTATATATGTGGTTGTAAAAGAGGCTATATCATCTGGGAAAACTGGGGATTCTCAATGATAATGGTATCCTTGAGGACATGGAGAAGGTATAAATGGATACTAGTATATACTATGCTCGTCCCCACTTTTTGCCTGGTTTCAAGTCACCAGTATAATGAATATTTACCTTATTTTTCAAGAATGTGGTAAGGGCAATATGTTTTATATGTACGCATGTATATATATATATATATATATATATATATATATCTATAAGGAATTAATCAATATGCATACGTATTGCGAAGTGGACTAATCATCCCCCTGCTAATCGGTAGGATGACAATCTCTGATTACACAAAGACTGCGCGTGCGTCATCGTCATCATCATCAGTTTATTTTATGTGCTCATGAACAGCGAGATTGCCTTAATTATGATGCATTGTGTGATGATGTTATGTTCCTGCTATCGTCGCTCTAGGCCCCTCAGTGCTTATATCGTCATTTATTCTGACAATGGTGATACTACAATAATTCTAGCCCATATAAATGTCAGACTCGGTTGTTTTATACATAAACAACACAGTTAGGGTAAACAAAAAATATTATACAAGTTTTCCAGAATACAATATTGCACCTCTGTGACATCCTTTGATAGATCATTTCACAATTTGGTCTTGCATATATTCAGCTGCTCTGGTTTTCTGTTGTTGCCTTTCTTTCAACAAAAGAAGAAAAAAAAACCTTCCTTCGCTTTAAACTTAGTTGACATCGTTACAACTTCAAATCCTTGGCCTAGTTCTAATGACAAAACGTTCCCAAACATTCATAGCGGTTATATATAATTTTTGAAGACATTTATGACGTTGTTGACAAGTTACACAATTAAAACTACATTAGCAAAAAGTAGGAACGTTCCATGATATCAAAATTACTTTTACTGACCATACGCATGTCTCCGTGTATTTCACCACTCAGTATTCTACCAATTCCTAAACATACTTTTGATATTTTAAGGTATTTCAACCAGCCATAATTTAAGGTAAAGTTTTACAGCAACAATCCAGAACATGAGATATATGTTATAACGAGCGCTTGTGCGCCCGTGTGCTATCGGTTTCAACCAGACTCCTAATTTTCTTTTTTTATCTTGACGGCACATTGACATCCCTTTATATTTCAGGGAAAACACATTCGCTTGATAATGCAGGGTCAGAATGCCCCATGACTCACTACAACAGCGTGCCTAGACAACTGTTTCACTGAAGCAATTATAATTTTCGCTTAACTATACCAATACAAAAACCGCCTGAACCGCCATCTGGGATACGAACGACGTTGACATGACAGGGTACAGAAAGTACCGTCACGCCGTAGATACTAATTTCGCATTTGTTTGTTTGTGCATGCAGCATTCAAACCACACAACTCCCTGATGAAGATCGCGATCCTCATGCTAGCGTGCTTAGCACACACCGTGCTAGGCCAGAGCCAACGTAAGTACGACTTTGTTGCTCCAGATTGCTAGCGGTGAAAGTTTAAGGGTTGTGTACCTTCCAAGTCTCACGCAATCAAGAAATTTAATTTGTACATTTTGTACTCGCGAACTATAATATGTCTTAGTTTACCTTGTGTGCTCATCATGAACTTTCCTTCTCCAGGTATTGCACTATAACGAGTGGCTTTAAGGTAATATAATAAAATGAAAATTTTATAAGCCAAACTCTGATGCCACACGAATAAGAATGCTACATCTCAAAAGACTAACTTTCTTTCTAACTTCCATATGTCATTCAGAGGGAACCTAAGTCAGCTTTCAAATGGTGCATAGCAAGGCATCTGTAGCTTTTCAAGCTATAAATAGCGTAGTTTCCAGTTTATAATCCGGTGCATAAATAGCGCGTGTCTCTGTCTGTCTGTGCGTGCGTGTGTGTGCGTGTGCGTGTTTGTGTGTGTGTGCGTGTGTATATATGTGTGTGTATTTTAGGACATTTGTCGGTGTATTTTATGAAATAGCGCGATATATATTCTTTTTTTTTTTACAAGTATGGGCCTTAACTGCGGAAATTTGAAACGGTGGTTATATTTCTCGTTCGAGTTGTTGACGACAATATTGAAACTTACTCTCGCTTTCGCATATGTTGCAATCAGAGTACACATATGCGGACTTTTCAGTGCAGTTTCGCTGCGCCGACCATACAAATATATGTATAGCTGTGGCTTACACAAAGATGCGACTTATATTATTCTTTTTTCTCAAAACAGCCGCTTATAGGGGGGGAGGGGGGGGATATAATTTATACGAATGCACGAAATGTAGAATAAGCGGCAATCGAATAAGCTTAATATTTATTTTGTTACAACGAGACGTCTCGCTCAGTAGATAACAAGCACAATTTCTAGAAGGTCCCTGATAATATAAAAGATATCTTGCTTCATCCCTCTTACACGGTGTTCACAAGACCCTCCAGGTTGTTTTGGTCAGTGCTCCGTAAAGCGAAACCGGTTAAACTGTCTGCCTCTTTTGTGATTTTGGTCTGTAGTTTATTTTTATAATTGTACAATTTGATGATTACCGGTTATTTGTTTTCACCCAATACCGACAATCTGCTAGTTAAGATAATTCACCAAAACCTCAAAGGTTGTGCGAATGTTTACCCCTGCAAAGGTCACTCTCAAACACGTGCGGACGGTAGAGCAGAGAACCGTTTGTTTTTTTCTTGTTTTTTTCAATAAAACATACATTACGTCAAACGTTGCTTATCGCCAAATGAATGACCCAGGGTTGTGTTTGGGGGCTATACTTAATGCATAAAGGTAGTTTAGCCGCGTACGCGTTGTCTTGACTCTTTCATAAATATGTATGCCTGTTTGATATTTTTGAAAATTTCTTTTGGTAGCTAAACAATGTTTGTTTGTTTGTTTGTTTGTTCTTCTCATTTACTTGCATGATACTCTCGCAGTTTGCAACGTTGAATCAGACGTCTGAATAAATTTTATATCTAAATAAACTCGAAGTTCGAAATATTTTTTCTGAGACCCAGGCGGCTCTCTCATAATTGGATATTGGGGGCCAGATTTTTCTCTGAGACTTGTCTCGTTCCTTATCCTTCTGTAGTATAAGACAATGAAGCCTAAATAACAACAGCAGCTCATAGCACGCAAACATGTAGTTACGCTGTATGTAGTGTTTCCCGTCGTGTCAAATATACGCAACTCGTATCACAAACAAGCGAAGTTTACGTGATCATGCGTCAAACAAATAAAATTTATGATCCAAAAGAAATAAAATATCTTTTACGCCCTTAGATATATTTCATCGCTGTAACTTTTTTTTCTCTGTGCTTGTTTTATAGCAGATTTTTCTAAATAGAACCTCAGAGGAAATCATATTTGTTGTTCACAATCAAGGTAGAAAAATGTCACGACTTCAAAAAAATAAATAAATTGGATTTATTGGATTTTAATCAGATTGATTTGATTGAAATCACTCTAGCTATGAAACGTTAATTTTTGCCGTTAGTTGTATTTTTCCACATGCCAGACTAATTGGCCAATTCGTCAAATTCCTGATATTAATGTGGAAGAAAAAGGGCCTGCGAATGTACAGTAGAGTTTAATTAAACACTTCTCTTTGCCGTAATACTCAAACAAAAAGAGCTTAATTGTTTTGTTTGAAAACTTACTTTGTTTTTTTTTCTTTTGAGTTCTAAGTTGATAGCAATAGAACATTTCTTTTGTATTTTTCGTTTATTTCTTAAGTTCCGATTTTGTTAATTACGTAGCTGACCAACCAAGTCGAAGGTAAGAATAAAGCTCAATGCTCTCATTTGCTCAGAAGAGCGCTTTCTGTTCGAGTTAACCTTATATAAATCTTTTTCTTCTTTCATGATTCATTGATTTAAATACAAAACAAACGCACATAGAAAATATCAAATGTTAGAAAAACGATTAATAGAAAAAAATATTGCCGGAAAAATTTTTTTCTAAGAAGGTTTGATTGAAAATCGTCATAAAAAACAGGCAATTATGTAAATCACTATTCAAGTTACAAAATAAATCAAGATCTAAATCATATTGATTTTTATTGTCCGCCCGGTTCAAAATACCGTTATTAAAATATTATAGTCACTGACAGAGTGGTACGGGGTGAAGCGAGTACCGAGCACCTTTTTTATCACCCCACAACCAACAAAACTGCTTCATTAGCAGATAAGAATGTCGAATAAAAAATCGTGAAGCGTAAAGGTGAACAAAATAAGCCAAGATGGGAGTTGCTTATGCTGTCAGTTACCTGCAAAACGGAGCGCTTACGCAGTAGGCGTCAATTGAACGCTTACGCCGAGCTCAAGTTCGTCTGTTTATTCTGCAGAGGTTGCAGTGACGTCAGAAAGACGCCGTGCTCTGATTGGCTCTGATCGAAGGATAGTGGGTAGACCTCGAAGCAAGCTGCCTTGAGGTCTAGGGTCCTTTGATTAGAGCCAATCAGAGCTCCGCGTCCTCACGTCACCACAAACCCTGCAAAAGAAGCAGACGAACTCTCGCTCCGTACAGAAAAGAAAATCAAGAAACGCAGGGAGAGGCTTAATTTTCTCGCTCTTCTTGCCCCGTTATTCGTTTTTCGGCGTTCTTATCTTCGGGTAATGAAGAACCTTCATCGGCTGCATATCGATAGCCAGAAAGGCGTCGTATTTGTAATGTCCCACCATCAGAGTCGATTGCGATTTGAAAATAATTCTTAGAAACTCAGCTCTACGAAACAAAAATAATAAGGATGCTCTACAGCACCAAACAAGCTTAATGTAATAATAGCGTTCTTAAAAAGCGATCTTATCTCGAAATCGTTTTATTCAGGAGTGGCGTCATGCCATTACCCATTATCTTGGTTATATATAGCATTCCGCAGTCTCCTCAGACAAGTCGTTCTTGCTTCTAGACGATTTTTTTGTTTGTTAACTACCTTATTTCTGCGTTGGCACGCACATAATTTATCTACTTTCCGTCACTCATCTGAGTAAAGCTCTTGGAAGCTGCAAGGTTATACCGGGGGAATTTTCTTCTGGTAATGGCGAGGACAGGGCAGCCTCTCGATGCTGCTTCAGTTGCTTCAATGTCCCCATGGTACTAGAACTTCCTCAAAACATGATCTTCACGGCCATACACGTTCAACGTTGCATTTACACGAGCAACGAGCTCCGAATTTAAGCAGACGTAAAGAGCGACATGAAAAAGCTTTAAACATATCATAGCGTTCAAGGCAAAAAGCTTTAAGAAATGTGATATATTGCCAGTTATTCAGATTAGTAAAATAATTCAATAATTTAATTAAGAACGCGAACGTTTCATTTTAAAGTTGAAGAGGTTGAACGCTTGTGTCACCCACTCAAAGTTTATACAATTAGAGGGATACTACCTCTTAGAGGGATACATTAGAGGGATACCAGGTCTTAATTATTCACAAATACCTCATACATAACACGTTATAGCCTCTGTCCTTCAAGTATGCTGTCACAAACCAAGCACGAGAGCCCCATAGAGTATATAAAACAAGTCATTTCTCTATATGTATTGTAACCCATCATAAAACTAACTGCAATCCTAGAAGGTAGTTGTTTATACGTTTACGCAAAGCGAACACGCGATCAGTTCCATCTGTGACGCTGTTCATGCCACTCTAAAACAATTTTAGTATTTATGAAATGATCATCCACAAGAAAAGATATGAAACTTTGTGTTGCACACGGATTCACCCAACGAGGTTTGTCTCCGTGAAAATAAGTTTAGCGTCCAGCTGTGCGTGCGTGTGTGTGTTTTTATCTTCTTTGTGAAGCACGGCTTTTACCTTTAAAGGCACACTAAACTCTTAAAGAACATTTTAAGTGCCTAAACAGGCTAAGTTTATCAAAACAACCCCCCGCAAAAAAAAAATAAAAGCATAATTAATTACATGCCAAGGCGCATTTTTAATTAGGAGCAGTTAAAACAATTTTCCGCCCCCGCAAAAACAAAATTAACATTTTTAATTACGTGCCAAGCGCATCTTTAGTTAGGAGCGGTTTCAAAACATGCTTTTATTGCGAAACGGCGACCCGAATCATAGAAACACCTCTGGCAATTACTTTTAGAAACACTCACTTCCCAAGAAAATACTCTTTATGTGCCTAGAGAGGACACCTACATTAAAAAAAAAAGTGCTCCCCGAGAAAGAAACTTGTGCACAACATCTACGTCGCGAGACTGTCTCAGAGTTAGTTGCAATTTTGAAATGCGCTTTCTTTTTAAACGTCAACCCCCAGAGAGAAGCCTGTATTGTAATAAATCAATTGAGTCTTCCGGCGTAAATAATACGCTAATATTTGTTTTCTCACGAAAGTCCATCTTGTGACGTACGTGTCCTATCCGAAAACTCAAGAATCGTATTTTGATATAGAATTCGGTGTTTCTTTCCACGTTACACTTGGAACGTAAATATGCTTCACACCAACAAGGCCGTCGAGGAATATACCCTCGATCCAACTCAAAAAGGGCCATTGAACATTTTAGGTGTAGGCAGTCAAGTCGACGCGGTACGTCGACACGTTTCAGAATGGCGTCATCGCTGCGAAGGTATATTGCGCAAATATTCGAAAGAAAATAAGGACAAAAGGAGGAATTAGACACAGCTATGTGGCAACACAACCAGACAGGAAAATCGGTATTTGGAATATCACTAGGCGGCGTGAGCCAAGGTGATTATCCCAAGACGACTTACGCGGAACAATTTCTCCATTTGCGCTCGCGCGAGGGCGGGAAATGCAATGTGCAGCTTCACATTGCATGCTTGAACACGGCAGTTAGCTCCTTATACTAAAATCAACATCAGAGACGAAAACTGTGTGTGCGCAAATAGCGTTTCAATTTTATAGTTCACCATCATTCGTAGCAGGCGACATAGAAGCATACTTGGGTAGTAATTCAATTACAGTAATTTAATTACTTCACTTTGTAATTTGCAATTGTAATGAATTGCTCTTGGCTAAAATGAATTGTAATTGCATTTTAATTACTTTCTAGATCAGTAATTGCAAAATTTCGGGCACAATTACAATTGCTTTTGCAAAACTTTCCGACGCCGACGGAACCTCTGAAAGCCTCAGCGCTCGCACAAGCGGCCTAGCTCTGGATAAAACAACTCGCACAAAGACACGCACTCACGCACACGCACAACATAAAAAGCGTCACATTGTTTGCTGTTTTGTTGCTTACACAGCGGGCTGAGAGGCAATCCTCTTTGGAGCCTTCCTGAACGGCGCCGTGTAGCGCCGTCTGCGGTGCGTGCAGAAAACAATATCTTAAACATGCCAAAATATTCAAAGAAAAAAATTGAGGTTCAGCTTTCAGCCGAGCTTGGGAATTTGAATTGTCTATGAAGTTATTTTTCTTTCTTTTTCGCCAGTTTTTTGCGTCTCTTTTCCAGTACTGTCGCATATTTGTATCTTCGTGTTATTTTAAAGCTTATTTCCTGTTGGTTTTACTTCGGATATTATTTGCATAAGCATTTTGGAGATTGACCTCTCATCTGTGAATGTTGTCACCAATGATTCGGGAGCCCGGATTCGGTTCTTATATATTTCTGAGCCATTATAATTTCAACTCAATGTAAATAATTTATAATACCATGATGTTTGTTTCTGAATTCGGTCGTATTAGCGCATGTGAATTTTAGTTTTATATTAACGCTTGCAAAAAAATTATATCTGACTGAGTGTCGCATTTTTATTTTCCTGGCTAACAAAAGTCTGTCAGCTCAATTTTTTCTTCATCGATCTGGCGTCTTCCAGCATATGAACTAATTTATTATTATTTATTAAAAATAAAAGAACGTAATGCTTTATTGCCCCCGAACTGTCAGGTTTTATTATGATTTTAACAAAATTGATAGAAGGAAAGTACAATACGTGGCATTTATGTAGCGCTGCTTAAGCCTTACAAAACATTGGTGCATGGAATGAACAAATACGTTGCATCCTATACAACTCGTTTAAAGTTACATGGCCCAAGTCGGGTCGCTCTCAGATATAAGTAATTATAAAGTAATTGGATTACTCCTTAAAGGTAATTTGTAATTGTAATCAATTACTTTTCACGGAGTAGTAATTGTAATTGTAGTTAAACTACTTTTGAAGCAAAGTAATTGTAATTGTAGTTAAACTACTTTTGAAGCAAAGTAATTGTAATTGTAATTAAATTACATTTCGGAAGTAATGGAGCCATGTATACATAGAAGCTCTCTTTTGCATGTTTAGCTATGGATGACGCTGAGCTATTTGATTTGAAGCAGTATTCGTACACCCTCAAATTTCACGCATCTGCTTACAACATTTCTAGTCTTTGGGTGACGCAATACGAGGTGACTATGTACGAACAGTCGTTTCGCTGTGCGTAAACCGCAGACTGGCAAAGAATTGATCGCCCCTATACCGAATTAAAATGGAAAAACTCCAGCTCCTTACTGCGCCTAGGGACAGCAGAAACTACATTGTTCCAACTCAAACCTTCAATCGCAGCAAAACTATTTTCCGTAAAAGAAAACACGAATTTGAAGAGTATAACACGAAATGGCACTAGACTGAGTCGTCTGGTACCCATAAAACTGCCCACAAAATATCAGACATACATCCAAACAATTTTATTTCAACTTCTATATTTAACTTATGCTTTTATATTTTATTTGTTTCATAAACGTTTAGAAAATCTGGACTGTCCGACGTTAATCGTAAAACTAAAGCCTAGATAAACGTAATTGCAACCTCCTTCCGTTAGCTTACGAGACTTCTCCGCTTTCTTCCACAGGTAACGGCCGCCAAACGAACAGCACCATTTCAAACGTCAACTCGACGGCCCCGTCGTCAGCACGCACCATGCCCATCGTGTGCTACTACTACGGCTGGGCAGCGACCAGGCCCGACCCAGCAAGCTACGACGTGGATAAGATACCCGGAGATCTGTGCACGCACGTCAACTTTGCTTACGCCGGCGTCGCCCCAAACACGTGGGAACTGGACAGCCAGGTGCCTCGCTACGACGCGGACAGAGGTGAGCCCGGCCGTCAATGTATACGTCATTGCAGCACACAGGCGACGTATAGAAACCTGTAGATTCAGAGTCGACGGCATTGCGTGAAAACCCGGCTTGCTCAAGGACACCCGCCGGAAAAAATTTGTTAGCGCGTACGATGGGATGGGGAGGCTAGCATCAACTAGAGTCACTAAATAAAATACGCTAAGAGTATCGACACCCCAGTTCTCAATATTCTTGTGGTCACCGCCCTTAAAGGCATGGCTTATTTACTGGTTCTAGCATCAAAGAGCTGTGAGCTGCAGAGTCCCTGCATAGAGTAGACCATGCTTTAGAGTAACGACGCTTCGGCCTTACCGGTGCGTAGAAACACAGTTGCCATTGGTTACCAGTATTTGTCAACATCCCCGACAGAAGATGCGAGAACTACTGTCAGTCGTTCCGCTTGCTAAACATGTTATTAAAAAAATGAATGCCGCTTACAACTCCCTGTAACGCCGAATTGGAGCGCAGCTCTTGAGGAGGAGGAGGGAAGGGCACTGGGGGGGGGGGGGGTTAAACTAACCAGGGGGGGGGGGGTCACGTGACCTTGGGGGTCAGGGCATTGGGGGTCACGGACATTGGGGGTCACGTGACCCCCAAGGTCACGTGACCCCCAATGTCCAAGGTCACGTGACCCCAAGGTCACGTGGTCACGGCATTGGGGGTCACGTGACCCCCAATGCCGATGATGTCATCACTGACGTCACTGATGACGTCATCAGTGACGATGACGATGCGGGTACCGATGACGTCATTAGTGACGTCACTGATGACTTCACCAGTGACGATGACGATGCGATTGTCGGTGACGTCATCAGTGACGTCGCTGATGACGTCATCAGTGATGATTACGATGACGATGCGGATGCCGGTGACATCAGTGACGTCACTGATGACGTCATCAGTGATGGTGACGATGACGATGCGGATGTCGGTAACGTCATCAGTGATGATGACGATGACGATGCGGATGCCGGTGACGTCATCAGTGATGATGACGATGACGATGTGGATGCCGGTGACGTCATCAGTGATGATGACGATGACGATGTGGATGCCGGTGACGTCATCAGTGATGATGACGATGACGATGTGGATGCCGGTGACGTCATCAGTGATGATGACGATGACAATATGGATGCCGGTGACGTCATCAGTGATGATGACGATGACGATGTGGATGCCGGTGACGTCATCAGTGATGATGACGATGACGATGTGGATGCCGGTGACGTCATCAGTGATGATGACGATGACGATGTGGATGCCGGTGACGTCATCAGTGATGATGACGATGACGATGCGGATGCCGGTGACGTCATCAGTGATGATGACGATGACGATGTGGATGCCGGTGACGTCATCAGTGATGATGACGATGACGATGTGGATGCCGATGATGTCATCAGTGATGATGACGATGACGATGTGGATGCCGGTGACGTCATCAGTGACGATGACGTCATCGGGGGGTCACGCGACATCGGCGGGGGTCACGTGACCTCAGGGGAGTCACGTGACTTCGGGGAGTCACGTGACCCCGGTGGGGGGCTCGCGCGGTGCATTATGGGACATTTCCCATGACGCACCGCGCGGTTACGCCGACGGCGACGCCGACGGCGACGCCGACGCCGCTCAAGCCGGAAACGGGCCCCTAAGAGCTGCGCTCTAAAAGAGCAGGTCAATGACACGATGATCTCTCAACGCCGTATGCCCCGATCAGGAAGTCGCATTTCAGAACAAGAACTGTCGCCAAACGGCGCCCGTGCGTGTCTAAGCACCAAAATAATGGCGTGAACGTAAACAAATGTCGCGTGACTCGAGCGACGAATGACCGTCCTTATGTCGGTGTAAGGGGAGGTTGGGAGGGGCGGGGGGGGGGGGGGGGGGGGGGGGTGACAAGAGTGCTGGTACTCTGAGCGTGTTTCTAGTGGCTTTAGTCAGATCGTTTAGGACTTCCAAGGCGCCGCGTGACGAATTCTCTCGAGAGGTATGCGTGTGCTTTTATGCGCGTCCCTTGACCAGGTGTCCGTGACATGAACTTCACGCTTCCGGTCCACATAAATACATAGATAAGTTGATTGCATAATGAACGTGTACATGAATTATCCAGGCCCGCAAAAGCACGTCTGTGCTTGTGCGCGGGACAATGTTCCAATGGATAGGATGTTAGCACTCTTACACAAAATAAAACAGCTTATCGGCATGCTTTCGGCCTAACAAAAACGTCATTTTACATCGTACAAAACCCAACAAGTTACAAACTCTGTAAATTTAAAACTGAAAATCGCATGATGCAAGCACACAAAACGACGCACCAACCTAAAACAAATTAGAGGTTTCAAATTTAGTTAAGCAGCAAAGTTATTGCCCGCCAATCTCTCTCAGCTCTCTCTTAACAATCCTAAGTGACTGCAAATCCTAAAGTCGATCTGGGAACATGCTATAATAATGTGGAACATAAAAAGGCAGTACCCTCTTACTGTAGCTTCTGAAAATTCTTGGCAGAACCAAACGTTCCCTTTTCCTCAGGACCCTTTTTTTTTTAGTGGCTGCTCTAACGAGTAATTGTGTACTAATATGGTATAGATATACAAGTTGTCAACTGGCAAGATCCGTAGCGTCCGCGTCTTTAGGTCATTCGGTGGTCACACTGTTTTTCGCATTGCAGTGAAGAGAAATGACTCCAAAACGGCTGTACTCATAGTTCACTGTACTGCGCAACTCGGTCTCATTGCGGGTAACATTTTTATTACGCGGGAAAATTTGTATTTATTACACAGCGTGGCCCGGAGTTACAGGAACGGTTAGACTCATCATGGAGTATTCCTCATCTTGTCGACACAGATTATATTTTAAAAAAAGTTCCTCGAAATAGTGCGGTGCATTCGTTGTAAAGCAGTGGAGCCTTCTTTCAAAATGTACAAATTGCAGAATAAGAACATTTATCTTTATATTTCAATTATGCTATCGCCCTGGCTATCAACAAGTAAACTCTAAAAAAATGCCCGAGCGTCTACTGTTCCGCTCAATCGTCGGAGAGCCAATCACTGCAACTTACGGAGGCAGCTCAGCGAATGACGATGCCGAAACATATATTTTGGCAAAACCAAAGTACGCAGCCTGAGTTGTGACATTAACCAATGCAAGCGTGACGTTTTGCATTGCTTAATGTCCCAACTCAGATTGCGTTTCTTGGTCTAGACATATGTTTCGGCATCGACATTCGCTGAGCTGCCTCCGTAAGTTGCGATGATTGGCTCTCCGAGTCTTGAGTGGGAAGGAAAACGCACGGGCTTTTTTAAAGTGTAGTCCAAGAACCGCATTTTGTTTTTGCTTGCATATTTAATGAGACGAGCAGAAGCGAGGAAGTTTTTTTTTTTTATTCGGTATTTCAATTTTTTTGTAAAAACTGTTATAATAATTTTATTTTACATGATGAAGATAACACGCGAGAGGTATTGTTTGGCGCTCAGAAGATAGGGGACGATCAGGTAGCATACATAAATAGCTATGCCTCTTACCACCACAACGGTGGCTTTGTGGCATATTCAGCCAATTAGCCAAGACAAACAACTAGCATACCGTTCCTGGCTTGGCTGATTCTTTTCTTACGAAACCACCACAAATTCACGTAATGATGCCTTATTAGGTTCACTTTTGCGTAGTTAGGAATCATTAAGTAAATTTTCATAATGAGGAATAATTGTGCAATTGCAACGACATGGTCCCTGTCTCCATGTCGGCAGGAGTCGGCAGTAGCGACACTCATGAAGACCTGTCAAGAGGACCGTGATGCGACTTTCCCCATTCATTTTCCAGTTTCACACAGTTTGCAAGGGCGTAGATATTATACACTGCACGGCATTGTTAGCATGATCAGGACATCAGCGCCGTTTCTCATTGTATTGTTCAATTTCTCATTATCTCAAACTAGCACTTTGCGCCACACAAGTAGCTTCTCGGCAGCCCTTTGATTCTAAAATTGAAACAAAACAACAAAAAAAACACCAATCGCCTGTTTCGAACGCATGTTCGCACTAAGTGTGCAACGCAAAATACATCCTTTCAATGTTTTGTTTTATTATATATTATTGATACAATCGAAGCTTGAATTGTAACTGGGTCATATAACCAATATTGAGAGAATAGCTACTGCATGCCGTTCAACGAAAATCTTGAGATAATTTAACATTTAGGACTCCTTTTCAGCGTCGAACTACCTTAACTGTCACTTGGTGCTTACACAGCACTTGATTAATAAGCACGGAAATATTTGTTTTCTACTCGAACTGCTATTTTGACACATTATCACTGCCTCATTATACTATTTCTACAAGTTCTTTCATGGTACTGAAATCACAAGTCATAAAGAGAAAAACCCTTTGATCATCAACGACACCTGCGTCGCAAAGGTTCCGTTAAATACGCACGATAGGCCAGTGTTCAGAAACGTCCGAGTACGGTGAAGACTCATACTAAGCGAAAACTTGTCTTTTAGGCTCAACTTTTAAAGGACAGCGTTCCGGCCCTCTGACATAAGTGCATTCCAGCTCCTGCGTACAAGTAACTATCTGGAGAGCAAGTTCGTCTGCTTCTTGCGCAGGAGTTGCGGTGACGTCAAACCACTGAGCTCTGATTGGCTGTGATTGGCTCTGGTTGGAAGGATAGTGTGTGGACCTCACTGCTAGCTGCCTTGAAGTCTCCCCACTATCCTTCCAATCGGAGCCAATCAAAATTAGGCGTTATGACGTCACCGCAACCGCTGCGCAAGAAGCGGACGAACTTACGCTCCGCATAGTCACTGACCGCTAAAGCAAAGCAAAGCGTGGCTAGTCTCGAACATCTCATTATCACTCCTCAGCCAATCAGATTGCGGCATTCGCCGATAAGAACACCGTAGAACCAATCCCAAAGCAAGGAGCGTGAACATAATCACAGGCGCCCTGCGTTTCTTAAACTGTCGGGGGTTATAGACGTCTGCAAGTAAGGCCTCTGGGCACCGCCATCTTGCTCCTGGTATGCGCAGATCGTCCAATAATCAAGCCTCGCTAAGGCGTGCCCACGGTTGCCAGAATAGCGCCGAAACAAAGCGTTTTTCGTTTACGGTGGCCAGACTCGCTCTTCAACCGTGGCCGCCTGCTTTCAGACGTCTATAGTCGCTGACAGCTTAACAAACGCAGGCCGTGGCTTATTTGGTTCACATGTCTTGCTTCGTGACTCGTTCTTCGGCGTTCTTATGCCGAGCGTGAGTTCTGCTTCTTTTGCGGGTGTTGTGACGTCAAAACGCCGCGGTCTGGTTGGGTGGGTAGACCTCAAAGCAAGCTTTCTTAAGGTCCAACCAGTGTCCTTCAATCAGAGCTAATCAAAGTTCGGCGTTCTAACGTCACCACAGCCCCTGCAAAAGTAGCAGACGAACTTGCACTCCGCATAGGCAAATGCTACGACCCCATTGGCTCAGGAGCGGTAATGAGATACTCTGGATCGACTTACCACGCCCTGCGTACTTAAGCTGTCAGTGATCGTGTACAGGTTTACCAACTGGAATTTGTCCGCAATTCATGCTCATATCTCTTGTCCCTTCCTCTCTTGCCCGTCTCAAGGACTCTACAAGAAGTTCACCGCCATCAAGGATGACTACCCCAAGCTGAAGACGCTGCTCTCCGTCGGAGGATGGCAACACCCGAATGGCGTCTTCTCGCAGATGAGCAGCACTCCTCAGAACAGGCAAAAGTTCATAACGAGCGTGCTCCAGTGGATGAAAGAGTATAACCTGGATGGCGTGGACCTCGCCTGGCCCTTCCCGGGCGTCGACTACCGCGGAGGAGGGCCCCAGGACAAGGAAAACTACGTGCAGCTCGCTAAGGTGCGTGCTTGACTGCCGACGCACATACACACACACACACAGACACTTGAGGCTAAGTGCTACTTCAAGGTTTTTTTGTCACGGGACGCAGAGTATAGGAAATTACTAACCACGATTGTGACGTGGGTACGTGTTGCGCTCCATCACCGCTTTGCTAATGGGAGGACAACGTAATGAGCACTTGCGCGGTGAGGAAACCGTATACCCAGGAGCAAGCAGAAAGGATCACAATGCGCATGCTTTAATTGCTCTCATACAGCCCGGAGTGTTGCTTATTCTCCCCTCGAGGGTCTTTTTAAAAAACAAAAAAAACGTACACAACCAGAAGCAGCTATACCGATTAGTATGACGGTGATCCTGTACCCAATAAGACTGATATGATAAAATGACCAAGACCTCACCATCATAGGGTTATTTATGTGCTCTAAAAAGATTTTGTCAGTTAACTTCCTTGCTGAACATGGACAACCAATAATGGCGAACGATAGGCGAATGACGAGCCTGGGAATATTATTAAACAAAAAAAGAGGTGATACGCATAGAGGCAGTGAGCCGGACGATTCACTTCCCTGCGGACGTCGCAGATTCAAAGCCTCGTCATTCGATGGGACTCTTTTGCGCAGAGAGCAAGTCGTCCGCTTTTTCCGCAAAAGTTGCTGTGACGTCAAAACGACGCCGAGCTCTGATTGGCTTTCATTGCAAGGATAGTGGGTAGACCTTAATGCTAGATGCCTTGAGGTCTACCTACTAATTTTTTTTTAGATTAACCAATAAGAGAACGGCGTTCTGACATCAACGAAACTTGAAACCCCTGTGCAAGAAGCAGACGAACTTGCGATCCGCATTGATTGTCTTGATTTGCTGTATCCGTGTTCAACAGAAAAGAGAACACGTGGAATTATTTAAAGTTCAAGAACTAATTAGAGGAGTAAAACAATTCTCGGGAGCGCTTTCGTGATTGAAACGTTCATTGTTTTGTTTTGTTGGTTTCGTAGGCGGATGGACCTAAACTCTTTCTGCACTCAACAAATGCACTCCACGCGTATCTAACACGGTCATTTATTTTGTTCTGATGCATACAATATGCTACATTTCATCGCCCTTGCACCTGTTTAGAGACATAAATGATGGTGAGACTATACATGTCGCGTGCTTGTTTTTACATTGCGTTTCGAGTGAAATCTCTGATAGTCGTTGACTCGACTGGTCGAAATTTATTTTTAGGAGCTCTCCAAGGAGTTAAGAGCAAACGGGCTTATGCTTACGATGGAAGTTCCACTATCGGATCAACATCTGAATCCCGGATACGACATCGCCGAATTGACCAAGTGAGTGAAAACCGAACATCGATAAATAGAGATTTTTAGATTTTTATCGCACTTGGGGAATGAAAACTTTGTGCGTATTGGCCAGCTTTACTTGGCGCTTAGCCCAAACAAACAAGACCGATTGTGCCAGATGTACTAATGTCGTATAAGCCGCAAGGACTAAATAGTTTTACATTCTTAAAAAAAAAATTGCGTTACGCTTAAAACCCAGGGCGACCCTTTCTTTTTTAATGCGTATTTAAAGAAAAAAAATTCTCGTAAATATTTGGCCAAAATGAAATCGCAAGTGAGGTTGAAAAAGGTTACGCAGCTTGGGCTCATTCCACAGGCACTATAGAAGAACGAAGGGTGAACGCGTGTTCGGTGAAGTCTTCATCAAACAAGCGCCGTTAGGGCATGTGCCATGTCAAATGACGCAGTTGTCGGTAAAGGTACGCGGACGACGGATGTATCATGAGTATTATCGTCATTGGCTTCGGAAAAGGATAAATGATGATGATGCCGGTGCGTATTCAAGCTTTCGCTTTTGCTTAAAATTCAATCATTTAAGGCAAAGGCTCTTCATGCCGCTGACACGTCAAGCGCCACTGCTGAGGAGGCCACAAGCTAATCTCAAATAGTGCGATATAAACACGATAACGATCTTTTGGAAACACGTTGATTTATAACATAAAAACGGAAGAAGCAAACCGTATAAAGTTGCTCTTACGCCGCATGGCCGGCATTGAAGGCCTCTTTAGGATAGTTATCGCAATCACATAATGTTTCGTAAACTCACCGTTCTTTCTAAATAATTTGTGAAAGGGGATGCTGGTGCACCCTCTACCTTGCTAATTGTGACAGTAGCAAAAATAACTGGTGCCACCACGCTTCACGTGTCGTCCGAAGACGAAGCAACTGAATGCAGTCGACATTCAGTTACTTCCTGTCTATCTTGGAAAACAAAGAATGATATTCCAACTGCATTATATTGACCGTACAATGCTTGCATTCGAAAAAAAAAAGACACCTGACACGATGTCTACAAGTCCTAATTAAATTACAGATATTCCAGTGCTGGTCACTAGTTCGCGCGTGATTGTGCTTCTTGAGCTTGGTAATAATCATGTTCTCGGCGTCTGCACTTTTTGGTTAACTATCTCGTAGACCTAGAGATGTCCTTTAATATAACGTGTCATTGACGGTACCTTAAAGAAAATCATGTGTATACTCACACAGGTACGTAGACTGGTTCAACACCCACGCCTATGACCTGAGGGGAAAGTGGAACGGAGTCACCGATGTCCACAGTCCGCTGTTCCCAAGAGACATCGATGTCGGAGATCAACAGAAACTGAACGTGGTGAGTATGTGAATCTGAATATATAAACCAGAAATCTAATTTATAAATAAGCCGACGAGCTATGCAACTGTGGATATACTTGAGCCACTACAACGTGATTCGCGAGCATTGAACTCAATGTATTAGTGTTAAGTGCTCGCTATCTGCAATTGTATTTATTCTAAAGTCGGACCCTTAAAACAAAAACAAAAACAGCTTACTGTAAAATTGAAGCATCTACAGTGAACGCTATGAATGCTTCAAACTTAGCCTGTATACTATTGCACGGACGTGAACCACCTGAAGTGCGCGTGCTAGGTGCAATGTCCATGATAGGCGTAACGCATCAGTAATTTTCTACCCTCAAACTAAGACACCTAGCGGTACGAACACTGTCATGCATAAAACAGTTCGCGCACCATTGCAGTCAGGCGAAGGGCCATTCCACCTAGGCGCAAGTAAACATGGCCACCTGTTCAGACGTTTTTTTAAGGTGGACGTATCCACCGCTCTAACGAACGGTTTCTGACTGGTGGCACTCTCAGTGCTCCTTCGTACAAGATTTTCTTCGCTTTCCACGTCTACCTAGCTCGTGCTGGGTCGTGGGGTTAGCTTCGTGGTTAACACAATAGACTGTGGATTGGGAAGTGTTAAACCGCGGCCACACTGCAGATACATTATACAAAAGACAAATCTGCAGACGGTCTCTGAGGCGGGTTTACGAGCCTAGATTGTAGAAAGGATCAATCTCAAACCATGGGAAGCGTTGGATGGATGTTAATGGCTATACCCTTTGTAACGGGCGGTAGCTTGCGCCACCTAGCCTAAGACTTAAAAGACAAACATATGATTCCCTATCAGAGTCGTGATGTAGGCGAGTTTGTATAGAAGATAAGCAATTAATTTTTGTGCAAAAAAACATCGGTTTTCCTATACAAAAAAGAAATCGCTTATCTTGACACGGCTGAAGCGACAGTGCGGTTTACTTCGTTAGTGTTGTTTTTTTGTTTTGTTTTTTCAATAAATGTTTAGTTGTGACTCCAGCGCATCGCTCGCATCTTCCCTTTGTCCCTGTATGCATTTTTTGCGCGCTGTTTATTACCGATTCCCTATCCCTTCTATGATGGTCCTGTCACATTGGTCATACAAGAACTGCCTGCAGACATGTCTGAGGCACAAATATATGTGAAGCAAACATTCTTCGAATATGCATGAGACGTGTCCACAGAAACTTCTGTCGGTACGTCTTCAGCGAACATCGTGTCTTTTGTATGGTGTGTGAACAGTCTGGGCCCTGCTTTAGGTTTGGTCGTTGGTCTACAAAACCTGAGTTTCCCGTTCTTTCTCGCAGAAAGATGGTCTCGAAAACCTGGTGAGCCGCGGCGCCCCCAAATCTAAGTTGGTGATGGGAATTCCTTTCTTCGGAAGAGGATTCACTCTCCTGGACAGCTCTCAACATGGACTGCACGCCATCATGAACGGCAACGTACCCCCTAACCCTGGACCATTCGTGAGGAGCTCCGACGTCTACAGCTACTTTGAGGTGTGTGGCGTGTATATACACTACAAAAAATCTCTAATTCTCCTGTATCCCGGCATTTCATTGGCATTTTAGAACAAGCTCCCTCAAAGAATGCGTGTATATACACTACTTCAAAAAATCTATAATTCTCCTGTCTCCCGGCATTTCATTGGCCTTTTAGAACAAGCTCCCTTAAAGAATTGGCAAACCAGCGCACGCTAATGGGGACGCGCAGGGTTGAGGTAGAGAGCAGTTTGTATTCACTGGCGGCCATAGCAGTGTGCGCGACTGCATGCTGTGCGCTTGCTGAAGGCGAGCTTCCACGGTTCTTTTGCAACGTGCATCCCACACCACCAAGATTGCCAGTCTTACCAACCTATTCATGTGAGCTCGTTTTTATCATGCTTTCTAAACAGCACGCACAAATATGGCGTCCAGTGAATACTTCCTATAATTTGTTTCATTTTACGTGCGAGTGAAGCCGAAGCTTCAAGCACAAACACGTTGTCCTGAACGATGTTTGCACCAGCGTTACCTTGGTGTGCACGGCACGAACGCTCGTGCTTGACAGGGACGATGAAAGTCCAGATCTCACGTGCTTGGTGGGGCGGCGATTGAGCCCACCATACCCAACAATGTACTTCGTCTTAGGGTGCCTGCATGTCTGTCTGTCTCAGGGCGAAGACATCCATTGTTGCACTGAATGTGCCAGCGCGTGACGCTCTCGCGCACTCGCTGCATGACTTAGGCGGTAAAATGGCGTCTATGCATTAGCCAGAGGTACGCGCTCGAGCTGAGTGACACCGGATTGCGCGCACTTCAAAAGGCATGAAAAACAATTGAGCGGAAAAATGGCTGAGATGTCACCACTCAAGCAAAGGCGCGCGTGCGTATGAAGGCACTCTACTTCGTCTCATCTTTGCATGGTCTATTGTTAGCCACGCTTGCTGACAGCGCGAGCTAGTACTTTTGATGAAGCCTCGGCGTCTGCACGAGCGCTCGTGCAGCGAATGCTCTAGTCAGTGCGGTCAGGGCAAGTCGCTCGCGCCTACACAGCCTTCACAATTAGTCCATGCTAAGGTGAGACGAAGTATTCAAGAATAGTCGAATTCGGTGCACAAGAACGTTGACGTCATCACAGGGAGATTGAGCGACGATGCTGATTAAACACGAGTGCTGCATCAGTGTTTGACTCGGTCTTGTGTCCGATCAACGCATAGAAGGAAGCTCGGCATCAGGCTCGAGTTGGCGCCATCCGCTTGTGATGACATTCTATGGAGGAAAAGAAAGATTTTCGCCGGGCTTGATTATTCTAAGTTTTCATGTGGATAAGCATCACACCGGAGTGGAGTCGCGTATTATGTCTGCGTGATACACGCTAAAAAAAACAGGTTAAGAGAATATCTATATCGGATATCAAGAAATTAGCAAAATAATAGTCGTTCGCACAGTTGTAAGTCTACGTTGTCGACATTCTACCATAACGACAACTAAAATGACTGCCCGCATTCAATTAATTTCGTGTGGTCGATATTATTCGTCTTTCAAACAGAATGTAAATTCTTAACTGGTTTCACAGGCCGTAAAGCAAAATATAGACCAGATATCTATATTACATCTAACAAACATCTGCAGTGCAGACAAAGGCATGGGCACAAGCGCGTGGCTTTAGAAAGTGCCTCGTATGAACGAGTTTTCGCACAAACAAAAGCATTCTACTGAGCCAGGCTCAAGCGCCTGTGCCTTTGTCTTTACTGCAGGCATTTGTGAGAGGGAGTATGATTAACATTTCTTTTCACGTGTACTATTTTTACTAAAACTCACCTCCGTGGTTCTTAAGTACAATCATCATCGTCTATTAAAAGAGAGGACGCGCAGGTCGTGCTTAGACGAATTGGTTCCATCATTACCCAAGCCTGCTGCCTGACAGCTCGATATTTTTCTTCCCGAACCAGAGGAAAATTATTTGAGGTGGGTGGCCTAATCTCAGACGTCTATTCACTTGTGAGCCCGGAGCTTTCGAATCCCACCTACGCTGGCCGTTACTGAAAAAACGCTTCAGGACCCTGTCCTCACACCTGCAATGACATCGACGTTTAGTAGGCTATCTCCAGAACGCAGGTGGATTTCTAAGGAAGAACGAAAAGCAAGACTGCCCTCCAAGCATCTCTTCAAACACGTCATGATATTTACGTTGCCCTTGCTGATTGTCGTCTTGGCCTTGTTAAGCCTCGTTGTCGTCATCACCAAGGCTGAAGAGAGAAAAAAGAGCTCAAAGACTGAAGGGAATCTCTCCACCGAGACATCTTTTCCTGACATGATTTCGCTGATAAATGTGACTGTCCTGAATGACAGTAGCAACGAGGCTTCCACGAGTGCAATCGATCTCGGGACCATGACCACCGTGCAACTGACGAAAGCGAATACAAGAACTGCGACAGATTTACCCTCAATGAATAGAACATCAGGGACAATATCCACGAAAACAATTGTAGCCCGCCGTTTTTACGAGCGACGTGCCTACGAGAACGGCTCTGGGCACGACGCTAGGAGTACAGAAGCCCCTTCAGGAGCTATAGATGACACTGAGAACGTGGTTTGGCTCACCCAGCCTACTGTGGAAGATGAGTATGCTACGACGTTGGACATTAAAATATCCAACGATGTAGATGACACTAATGGGCCTGAGCGCGAAGACCAGATTTCCACCAAAGAACACAGGGAAGGTGTTCCCTTGCCTAAGGAAGACGACAAAAGCAAATACTACTATGACGGCCCTCATGATGACTGAGAAAGGATTAACCACAATATATATTTTATAGTTTTAGTAGCCATGTTTAGTGTTTCAATGTTACACCATTAACCCTGTGCGCCTAGTAATATTTGAGGCTGCGTTTTTGTGCATGTTGGAAAAAGTACAATGGTGTTCGTGAAAATAACACGTTGCCTTTAAAGAGTAACGCGAAGCTTAGAAAAAATAAAGCGAAACAATGAAAAGACAACTATACCTACTATATTTAATATAGTAATGTCTGCACATAATTTTTTTTTCAAATTTAGTGTTCTAATTTGTATTCTTCTAGAGTGGAACACTGATTAATAATATTTTTTTTAAATAATACAAGGAACCTGGTTTACTGCTCAATCAAAGGTCTCCGTGTGAACTCCTTAAAATAACCGTCTCGACCCTGCACACGTAGATCGTGCGCTGGTTTGCCGATTCTCTGAATACCTTTGGGTTGTCCGTGAAATAGGGGCATATATGACTGTTTTCTGTCCTAAACCCTTCGCTAAGCTTTAAATATCAACTAAAACGTTATATAAACCGCAAACATAAAATTAAGTTGAATTTACTACTCTTATGCTACATTGCAACCTGTTTCTGTTAACTTTCTTTTGTTGGAAAAAATTGTATTATTATAATTACTACTATTAACTTCCAAATATTTAAAGCTCGCGTGTTATTGTCCGTGCAATCAAAGAGTTGAGATTATTCTACTCGCGCACGCGACCAACTCCAAAGCGGAGAGGTCGAGTCACGCCGGGCTGCAGAAAATTTTTGTCGATGTCTGAGAATAACAATGGTAGGATGAATATGCTGTAATTTAAAACTTGAAAACAAGAACTTAACCGGTGTTAAGCGTCGACCTTCTGCCACGCGGTGTGTTAACAAGTGTATCATATCGACTTAACCAGTGTTAGGCGTCGACCTTCTCCCACGCGCTGTGTTACCATGTGTGTCATATCGAGGTCTCGAGTTAGTGTCTCAATGGGAGCCACATTTTATTGCATTTGCAGATATGCCTGTTCCTGAAGAGCGGTTGGACCAGGGAATTCGATGACCAAGGAAAGGCTCCATACGCATACTACAATAACCAGTGGATCGGATACGAAGACACTGAGAGCATCAAGCACAAGGTAACAAACGCCGCTTTCTAATAGACGTACGTGTTCGTTTTTGTGTATCTGAGAATGTGCATGTTTACACGTGCATGTACAGTCTTACCGCCGAATTCAGAAACCTCACTCAAACTACACTCAAACTGAAGGGCCCCTCCACTTCCTCGAGGAAGGCGCGAGGGCCGGCGCTGGCCAATCGCGAGGACGGATCCGCCGTCGCGATTGGCCAGCGCCGGCCCTCGCGCCTTTCTCGAGGAAGTGAAGGGCCCTTGAGTTTGAGTGTAGTTTGAGTGAGGTTTCTGAATTCGGCGGTTAATGTCATCGTACAATTCAAGTGGTCATATTTTCTTGTCGAGAGAAACGAATTCGACGGTGTGAAATGTAGGCTGAGCGCTGAGCTGCTGAGCGCGTATCTTGATACTCGCTGATCAGCAGTAAGGTTAACACAATAATCGGTGACAAGATGTCAATGCAAGCCAAGTATTGTGAACACTAAGCTTTTCTTTTTGCTCTCACGTAACACTTGATATGTGAAGTCACCGGTGTGAAGCCAGTGTCTGAATCGGTTATTATACAACAAAGAAGAGGAAACGGTCGCCGCTATTTATGGCATATCAAGATATCAGATGAGCTGGGCCGACGTACAGCGTCTCCTATACTTGAAAAGCCTTCAAGTGCAGGACAGAGCAAGTGAAGGAAGCTGCCTTTGAAGACTTCCCGGTCTTCTGTGGTTTGGCCCCAATGCTTATCGCCTCGTGCCCTATTCGAAACAGTCGGAAAACATGAGCGTACTTTCTTAGTAGTGATCAAGTCCGCACCATAAAGCTTATAAGAGTCTTAGCAGCTTAGAAATGTGAGCGCGTTCTCAGCATGCGCAATGATCAAAGCATTAAAAAATCGACATCAATGAATACCTATGAATTATTTTGTATAAATTTTGAACCATTAAACCGTGTTTATTAGACTGTAAATAAAATGTTAGATTAAACCACCTGTTTTTTCTTCCCTTATTTCAGATGAACTTCCTACTCCGCGAAGGCTACGCCGGCGTATACGTCTTCAACAACGACATGGACGACTTCAGAGGACTCTGTGGTGAACCCAACGTACTCCTCAAGACTATCAGGAACAGTTTGAACCAAGACAAGAACGACATTGCCGAAACACTCTAAAAGCCGGACAAGCGTCACTAGTGTTGCGCCACTGCGCACTAGTCACAAGAAATGATGCGCAAGATGAACTCCCGGTGACCATAGCCCTGTTCCGATTTCAAAATAAAGAGTACTGGAACTTCGACGTGGTTCAGACGTGTTTGTTTGTTTGTTTGGCGAGCTTAAGCAGCTCCTCAATTATGGTTACATATGTCATCTGCAATGACACGTACTTGCAAGCGACCGCACAAAAGAGAGCCTATGACGACGGCACAACGAAGGTACCATGAAGAAGAAAAAAACTTAAGCCAACAAAAATAACAATCGCTGTAGGTTGCCCATCATGTATCCTTCACCGTTCCTTCCTTCAAAAACTACATCAGTAATCTGAATCGTCTGGTCGTCAACCACTACCTAAGCAGGTAACGATATTATGCGTGGAAAGAATATCGTTGTTATTACGATATTATGTCCGATAACGATATTCTGCTTGCGCAAAGGCACCGGCGGAGTATCGGGTATCATTATCGCAGATGTCGAAACGATCTACTAAGAGTGTCTGACTTACAGAAAACAGTAAGTGAGCAAAACGCGCCTGTGTAAAGTGTGTGACGTAAAGGGTCTTGTAAAACTCCCTAATGTAACAAAATACAATAATGACCGCTAATGCTACATTGTCACACGTGCACATCAATGCAATGTGTATGAAAAAGGATTACAAATCAACGAAAAGAGGCATCCGGTTCCGGCACGGAGGGAGCATATTTACTCCCAATAGCCGACAAGGTGTCCGTTGATACATTTTACGTAAAATATCCCGGCAGTACACTTGGATCCTTTCTTTCCTTTTAGCCACAACGCAAAAGCACGTTGAGTTGCTAACGTCTTCTCGAGTTCTTCGGTCCCGCTGTCGTCCGCTTTTTCTTCGGCCCTTTTTGCCTCTGTTTGCAGAAGAAAAAAAAATATGCATCACTTAGAAGTAACAGCCAATCCGTGTATATTTTGTTTAGAAAAAATTTAACTTCTTACTTGTCTCGCATCTACTCGAGCTACACTTATTCAAAACAGTAGTTGAGGTGAAAGTCACACCCACCAGTAGCAGAACGAACTGAGAAACAAAAGTGTTGAGAACATTGGTGTATATAGTAAACTATGTCTATGTGTTATAAAAAAAAATAAAAAAAAGTGGGCGTATTTTTCGGCAATGCTTTGGCAATGCTGACTGGGGCGTATTCTTTTGCGCACTTTTAATTATAAAATCTTTCGCTTTTGGTGGTGACGACTATGGTGTCTGGAATATGTTCCAGGCATAGCCCATGACTGGAATACGTGATTAACAGCTAGGAGAGCATTTTCGCCTCAGAAACGCCCGATGCTTTGTTATGGTTATACTTAACGACGGAATTACCAGAAATATCAATTAAGCGAAAAAACCTTCAAAAAAATTTAAAACTGCGTTTACCTCTCCCATAAGAAATGCTAGCAATTTGCATACTGGTGCTTGCCTACGTCAAGCACAGGCACGCTGACTCCGATTAATGTGTCGGCTATGTACGGACTTATAGTCAATCAAAGCTTAAGAAACCCAAGGCGTGGTGAGTCCCGACTCTCGAGCATGTAATTATAGCTCTGCAGCCAATGGAGTTGAGGCATTATCTGATAAGAACACCAAAGGAAGAATCACAAAGACAAATGCGTGAACATGATCAGCTGTCAGTGACTATAGCCGACGTGAATCGTTTCAGTACTGGTTACAAAGACCAGGGCCCCTCACAATCGTGTTCCGTCTGCAGCTCTCACCTCGTTCTTTCTTGGTCTCCAACCACTCCCTGTACTTTTGCTTGGACAACTCTCGCAACCGTTGTTTTTTTCGTAGTTTGTCCGCTTCCAGCTCCTCTTGCCTGCGCTGTTTCTCGAGCGTCACCTCCCTCTTCTCTTCCGTCTTCGCCTTGCACCAGGAACGAAACACGCGCTCGGCTTCTGCCTTCTGCTTGGCTTTCAGCTGAGCACTCATCTCGCGCTGCAGACGACGCCGACTGCGAGACTCGCGCTGCTCCTGAAGGCGTTTCCGCCACTCGATGTCCTTGTGGAGGTACCATATTAACCAAGGACTCAACTCCGTCTCTTTCGGATCTTTCGACGCGTTTGAGGATGGTGATTGCACGTCTTCCGACGTTGACGTGACTGCGGAAGCGGAACCATCCGAAGACACCAGTCTGGTGTCGTCTGCCGGTACTGGTGAATCAGCGAAAACAGTCGGTTCAGCACCCGGTAGTCTGACCTCATCCGAGGCTTCTGGAGTAGCAGGAGCGCTGTCTGAAGACCGCGGTCGCTCGTCACGGGGCGGAAAGGGATCCGAGGAGATGGATGTGTCCGAAGATGGTGACCCGGTGTCATGTGGAAGAGGTGGCGTGATGGGGTTTGGATCTTCGTCGTCGCGCATGAATTTACGAGACGCAGATTTGTGGTCGGACATTAGTGCAAACGTTTGGGGAAACAATTAATTATTTCGGTGACTGCATGTTTCCGTCTGTATCCTCGGCACCTGTCGAAAAGACAACAAAAACTAAGAACCGGGTACATAAAACGCACGAGTCGCGGGTGAGGGCTAAAAGTTCAAGATTAAAATAATGACTGCAGTTCATGAACTCTAAGAGGCCTGGAGCATCGACTTTCCCGCAAAGCACTCGGGAGAGCTATTAGCTGCAATCTACGGAGGGATGTTAAGAAAAGAAAATTGGGGTGTGCGTATGTTCATAAAGCCTACAACTTACACATGATTCAAATCAGCGAACAGCGTTAGGAAACTGTCCTAACGTTGTTCGCTGATTTCATTCACGTGTAATCGGTACCAACTATAGTCCAGCTTACCACCCTTCTACACCTGAAACTTAATCTGCCTCAACGGGCAACTTGTCTTGCAGCTGTAGATGAGATATTTAGCCAATGTGCAGTACAAGCCACTAGCCTGGGGTCTTTAACGTGCACCAGGCATTGGTGATACACGACCTCACGCCGGTACGATGCTAATCCACATCGAAGCGGGCAGGCGTGGGGATTGAGCCGAGGATTCCTGGGTTCTGCAGCAAGAGCTTTCGCTCCACGTGCTCCGAGTTAGTGTGCGCTGGCCCACTCGGCCACCAATCCCCCCATAAAATTGAAGCTTGGGCGAGTTGGTGATTCATAAGAGCAGCGGAAGGACTAAAAATGACAAGGACAAGAGGAGACGTACAAAGAAGAACAATTAATTAAGGGTGCCGTTGTTCGTCCATTGTGCGTCTCCACCTTGTGTCCTTGTCTTTTTTGTGTTGTTGCTGTACTAAGGAGAGAGCTTGGCGCCTACGAGGATCAAAATATGTGAACACTTGAAAAGCAGTGAGCGCTGTTACACCTAGCATGACGTAAGCTCGTGAGGCGTTATGTTTAGTGTCACAGCGCAGACTGTTTTGTTCTGTTTATTTTTTTTGTGTGTATGTGGGGCGATATAAACATTTTTTTCAGCCTCATTATTTTATTGGAATTTCCAAGTGCTTTGCAAGAAAGTAAACGCATCAGATTTTGTAGACTGATATCAATTAATTTTAACATTTTGGACAACACCCCGAGACTGGGGGGAGGGGGGGGGGGGGGGGGGGGGGACAGCGCAACAAAAAGGACAACACAACACTTTGTGTTATGTTGTCCTTTTTCCCCCTGTCTCGGGGTTTTGTTTAAGATGTTAAACCTTCACCAGCTTGTTTGCGCCCTAACTTTTTTGTTTACCAATTTTAATTGGAAGTTTCGTGTCAACAACTACGCATAACACATCGAGTCAAGAAGCACAACAACGCACTCGGCACGTTTTAGTTATGAGACGAAGATGAGGGAAGTGAAAAACGAAAATCGAGTGGACTTACCCAGAGCAGAGCTATGTAGACGAGAGCGGCAGAGTGTAGCTTAACGAGCCACTAAAGTCGCACCCCCATTGCAGCTGCCGAATGGATGTTGTCTGCCTGTCCCGTTCCATGGACGCGTAGGTTGCTCGGGGCAACAAGCGTGTTGACAACGAAAATTGACTGGTGATGTCACTGCCACGTGGTTCCAGCTCGAGTCCACGCCGGGAGTACCGGATTTGTCGGAGCACAATTATTTACCGTGCCTGATCTTGTCATTGTGTTTTTCTTTCCTTTTTATTTTTACAATTTAGCTTTATTTTTGACGCTGTTATTTCTTCTGAAGGGTCTTCAATTTGATCGTGTTGACTGTTCTTCTCTGAAAGTGTTGTTTGTTTTGCACGCTCCGAGTTTACTATACCTGCAAGTTCTCAAAGTATACAAAATAAATAAAAGTTCTATAAAATGTATGTGCTCTACAAGCTCCCGAGTCGGGCTCCCTGCACGGAGGTATTTTCGTTTTTGTGTCGTACATTTTATATTGTTCGTTGTCATGAGCGTACAGTCTCCCTCAATATGAAAAACCCATTCATCGAGACAGTTTCTGTGGTCGTGCTAAGCGCTATTTGGTTAGAGACACTTTTAGAGAGAATAGAACAAACCTTCATTTTCATTTTTAAGCTATGCGCGCCTCGTCAAAGCGAATGCAGCAGAGTCGCTTAAAACTGCCTCGTCGAATAGGTTTTTCGTATTGTTGGTGACTGTAGGTACTCTGATTTTCTACTGAAGTTGTTATCAGTCGAGAATCGTTTACGGATTAGTTACCACGCCCGCTATGTTGTTCTCAGCAACAAGGGCAAATTAAATATACAATAATGTTTTACTTCCTGGGTTCACATGAAGTAAGCCCGCCTATTAAAATGTATAACAAAAGTGCAGTTTTCTAAGCTTGTTTGGCATTCATGCATGTTCTAGCATGAAGATATTAAAGGGGGTGAACTGTCACCAGACGAAAGGGCGCGCGGAGTGAGTTTGACCAAGTTGGCGCGAAATTCTTAAGTGAGAATGAGAGAAAAAGAAAAATGATGGTGGAAAGCTGGGGTGAAAGCGCTATGTCGTAATGATATAAATATTTTCACCTCGTGAATATTACCCACATTCTCAATGCTATATATTAGAATCGGCAAATTCCCCAAAAAAACTTAAAAATGCCAGGTATTTTTTAGCGTTTGTTTATGAATAGCACAGCTTAGTTATTGCATGTTACTGTTTCTGAGAGTTGTTGGAACTTACCGAAAGAGGCTTTTGGCCAATACTCTGTAAACAAGTTATGAATCGTCTGTTTTCCTGTAGAAATTAAATGAGACAATTTCAATTTATTAATATTAAAGGTGCCATGAAATGAATTATGGGTTGGGATAAATGATTTCGGATTGACATCTTACTAATCGCATAACCTAGAGAAAGAGGGTAGAAAGTCAAAAGCCTGCTTTTCGATACGAAGCTTCTAAAATATGGCGGACTATTTTGTACCTCTTTTCTTTCGAAAGCTCTCTGCCTTTTCACTGTGATTCATCCGTGGTACCCAAAGCACGTTTGCCAGCTTACGTATTGGACACGAGCACTGCGTCACTCGGACGTATGCGCTCGTCAGCAATCAATCCGTCGACGAATATTTGGATTCGCGTTCGTGGCCAGTGCATACCGTTATGGCGCTAATCATCACTTGCGAATGTCAAGTTGCAGGGTGTGGTTAAAAGCACGGCGTAAGCTTGGATAAGGTGCTTGGAGTCATCGCGTTTGGTTAAATACTACGTCATGACCATGTGATCTCTCATTTCGCTTTTGAGTTAAGAAAAACACCTAATGAGAAAAAAGCTGAAAAATTATTTCGTTTTTAACTCAAAGTACCAGTGATTGTGCTGCAGAAAGCTTCATATAATGTTCCTTTAATATATTACTCGACATCCATACCGTCTTGCACGGTAGTTTTCTGAATTGTGGGAAGAGATATTCCAGGCGGCGAATTACAACGTTTTGCCATCGTAAATAAAATGGCGCAGGTCTGATGCAATATATCTAAAAGGTGAGTGTACCCCCCGGACAAAAAAGGTTGCGACACTAAATCTGACCTTCTGTATTGGCGATTTTTATCACGTGTTTACGAACCCACTTTCACGGCTTCGTATTTCGACCGCCAAATGCTGCAAACATCTGATTCGCTGGGGAGGCTGGCGAGTGAATTTGGCGTCACAGCTTTCCATTTTAGCCGCTAGGTGCCGTCCATTTCACCAGCCCAGACAAGCTCCACTATCTCGCTTCTTTATTTTTTTTTTTCAATCTAGGAATTGGGATATATATTTCGCATTCCAATCCTAGTCTGCACCAAAGCATCTTCTAATGCAGCTGTGCCAGTAAAGTCGGCAGTAAGTGAATGTATCTTAGCAAATGGAACAGTTTCTTTTCAAAATCAATGTGGCCCACCGGTGGAGTCTTTTATAGAACTCCTGAGATTCTACCTTGCTTCCACGGTGGTTGCGTTCAACGGGAATGCTTATGTACAAAGAAAGGGAATCTTTATAGGATTCTGTGTAGCCCCCGTTTTATGCAACATTTTTTTTTGTCCCAATGTGAACGGGACATCGCCACGAACCTGTAAAACAGCAAGGTTTCGCGTGTCTTCAGGTATGTAGATGATTATCTGGTTCTGTTGAACGATCAGCCTGGGCAAGGTGAAACGCGGGAGATCAACGACATGCGCAGCACATTTGTCGAAAGGGCTCAAGGTTTGACCTTCACAGACGAGGTGCCAAACAACAGCATGCTCCAATTTCTGGATTTGCAGCTTCTATTTCAAAGCATTACACCTGTTGGATGTATAACCCACGGTCCAGAAAAAGGCGTCTATCATATGACTCGGCTCATTCTAAGTTAATCAAAAGAGGGATTGTAAAAAGCTGCTTGAACGCGTCACTGAAGAAATCTTGTGAACGCTCAGCAAAGAGAAGCTTCGAGGCACAAGTGCAAAGGCTAGTTGACCCTGGATATCCCAGTTTTATAGTGTTGGATGCTGCTGAAAGTTTGGCAGCTTCCAGCAAAGCACAAGAACGACCTGTTTGGAAAAACTGGCCTGCTGTTGTTCCCTACATTCATAAAATAACACACAACTTGAAGAGGGTAACCTCCAGGCTCGGAGTCAATGTAGCTATATCTGCTCCGGACAAGCTCAAGAGGCTGTGTCCCAAGGTCAATTCTGAGAAACATCTAGAAGACCAATGCAGGGTTCAGCACACGCACAAGTATGTCACCTGCCATATAGCGGTCGTCTAAAAGATTCCGCTGTCCTGTAGGAAAGTGCATGTGGGCCAATCTAGCCGGTAAGTCAACATCAGACTACGTGAACACGCTTTTCACTAAAATCATCTCCGGCAAGACACCTCGCCCAACATATTCGAGACTGCAAATGCACCCCTGGGTTTGCTAAAACCAGAATCCTCAAGCAACACAACCCGAGAGCCAGGGGGATCTGTGAGGCTCAAATCATCAAAGCAAGTGGGGGCGCTTGCATTAGTGCACCGCCAGTATAGCCTTATCTGACAAAGAACTCCAGTACCTCTATTTGTTTTCTTAAAAAGCTACAATTTTTCAATTTCTTATTTCTCTTTTGGATTTTCCTTTAAACTTGTTTTTTCTCTAATTTTGTTCTTCATTGTTTGTTTTTTGTTCTGTTTTTCTTTCTCTAGTCTCATTTACCCAGTCCTGTTTTTCTTTCTTTATAGCTTTTCATCAAAAATAATATTTTCCTTCCTTTAGTTTCTTTGCTTTGACAGCAACCTTCCTCTTCCTTTTCTATCACTAAAAAAAATCTCCAGGTTCGCTCTCCTCTTTCACATTAAAAAAACGACAGTTGATAGTAGCGCTTTGCCCTGTCCTGTCCTGTCCGGTTCTTCTACCTGTCCGCGTCTTTTGTGCTTTTGTCCTCTATTATGCCACTAAAGTATGGCGGGCTGTTCACGCTCCCATTATCAGCGATAGCATTATAAATGTTTTGTAGGGAGGGTGGCTGAACCCAGGATCCATTGGTTCTGCGGCGCAGCGCAGCGCGAGAAAGAATAGAGAAAAGACGAAGAAGACAAAGCGACAAGGAATGTAATTTCACTTCCTTCCATTTATTTGGCTCAGCAGATTCGAGAGTTCGCAGTAGGGCCGAAGGCCCGTACCGGTTGGCCTGCAAGCACGCGCCGATAACGAATCGTCGCACCTATAAAGGATCCTCAAGCCACCAGCGCATTCCCAGAGAACGTCTGCAAGATCAGGATGCAGTTCTACGCGGCCACGGTGGTGACGGTGTTTACGCTGCTGTTCTCCGTCCTCTACCTTGTTCCGCCCGTGCGCAACCTAGCCTACTTCCTCTCCCTGAGCGTGGTGCTGGTGATCGCATCCCACTACACGACCGTCTGGCTGCTCTACCTGCTTGCTTACAAGACGGTCACACCCAAAGGGAAGGTCGTGGTGGTCACCCGCTGCGACAGCGGCTACGGGAACCGCCTGGCCATCGAGCTGGACCGACGTGGCTTTACAGTAAGACAAGACCATCGATCAAGCGACCGCCCTTAAAAGCAGCCTGCTCCTGCTTGGATATTCCCTTGCGCTCATTGCTGAGTTCGTGGCATATGAGCACGAGCTGATGGCGAGCTTCCACGGCACTTTCGCAATGTTCATTCTACACGATCAAAGCTGTTGTTCATAAAATACAATAAGTGTGAGCTTATCATTTGCTATGAACGGTATCCATCCCCAGACTTCCTCTTTATCAGTATTTTCTTTTCTATAAACTGTAATAAGACTAATATTCAAAACAAATTTAAGATCTACCAACGTTCCTGGCATGGCGTAGATAGACCTCTAGCAATTCTGCTGCATTACGAGCTGTCTTTTGCATGAGTTTAATTACTAATTACATAAGCATGTGCATACAAAAAAAAATGCATACATTTCCCCGGAAGACAAAAGAAATATCATGATACATCCTGGAACGTCATCTGACGTTTTATTAGTAAAAGACTTTAAATACCATCATAATTCTACATGTACTCGTAAAATGGCGTATTTTCTCGCGGCTTCGTTCAGCACCCTCTCGCATCTCCTACAACCTCCTACGCCCCATGCAGGTGGTGGCCGGTTGCGTAAACGAGCAAAGCGACGGCAGCCGTCACATCAAGGAGGTCTGCTCGGAGCGGGTGTACGTCATTCAGACGGACGTGACTCAGCCGGAGTCCCTCGTCGTCTTCGAGAGCATGGTCCGAACGCTCTGCAAGAACGAGAACCAACTGTGGGCCGTCATCATCAACCTCAGCGTCGTCTCGCTAGGGGAGCTCGAGTGGTACAACGACGAAGACATGCGCTGGACGTACGAGGTGAAACCAACGTCAACCATATCCAAACGTATACTGCCTAAGATAGTGCATAGAATAGGTAGTTACAAGGTGACACCAACGTCAACTAGATGCATACAATAGGTAGTTTTCGGAGACCGTTTCTCTTCCTCCGCTGCGTTCTCCGCATCGAAGACGCCGCAACTGTGCGTGCGCGCCGCCAACATAGCCTGCAGTGTTCAGACGGCTGAAGCGCTCGGAAAAAACTTTCTAATGTTATTGTAGTTTCAAAACGCTTCCACGCACTGCGGCGCTATAATAATTGCTACTTGGAATTTACCATGCCATGCTTAAAAACGACCTTCTGCGCTTAGCCATCTTTGTCTACTGGGCTATGGAAGGCGTACTGAGCGTACGCAGTACAGTTCTTTTCTCCGGAATGTCAGACGGCGGGCATCCGTCTCTAGCTTCTCTAGCGCAGTGATTCCGCGTTTTTTTTCGCATAGGATGCCAAGCATCAACAACCATCCTGTTATAACTTCGCAGGTGAACGTGCTGTGCGTGGCGCGCGTTGCCCGGGCCTTTCTTCCCTTGCTCCGCGAATCGCCATACTACGGTCGGCGCTTTGTCATAGTGAACAGCGTCTGGGGCCGCATCTCGGTCCCGGGCACGGGCCCCTACTGCATGAGCAAGTTCGCCGTTCGCTGCTTCACCGAGGTCCTGCGGCGGGAACTGCTCAAGTTCGGAATCTACGTCGTTGCCGTAGAGCCGAACCTATACCGGCTGCCGCAGACGGAGCCCAGCACGCTGCTCAATTCCTACAAGGCCATGTGGGAAAAGCTACCAGACAGCATTAAGGACGTCTACTCCAAGGTACGCAAAAAACAACAAATATGCACACAAGGCCCATCCACGTGGGACACTTCCTTGCGTTTTCTTACTTTCCGTTGAAAGCACTGAAAATAGACACCGGAAAACGCCGATTCCGGAAAAATTAATAGAGGCCGAAAAAACACTCCCGAATTTCAAGATAAAGATATACACCGAAAACAAAGAACACTAAATATTAACAACGTAAGTATATGGAGACGTTATCGTGGGTTTAGTGCGGATGTGTATGACTGTTCTATCGCTTCCGTCCGTTTGATAAGCTTCCCTTACAACCGGCTCCTGCTTGTTAGAAACGGAAACCGGTTGACATCCGGTTTCCACTTATTTTTCATTTATTTCCACTTTAAAGGCCTAGTTAGGGCATTACATAAAAGGGGGGGGGGGGGCAGTTCAAAAAACGGAAGAATAATGTAGAATGGATATAAAGTAGAAGTTATACAAAATTTACTACAACTGAAAGAGCACTCACTAAAGATGGATTTGAAGGGCATTTAGGAACGTTGTTGGGTTGTCGATGGTAACTATACTGGTTTCATTCGGAAATGGTAAGGGAAGAAAGGATTCATTACAAGCATTGGTCTTACCGAACAAATGGCTTGGTAGCGCAGGAGTCCTTTATGTGGAAGATATTTGTGGGGGTGATAGCAAAGAGTCCTCCAGGCCAGAGCAAGTAATACATTTTGTGAAAGAGGTCGTATCGGGAGAGTTTCCTTCGATAGTTCAAATGGATTTGACCGAGTTTATCTTGTAAAGTAGAAACACTGGCGAAATGACCCTATGATGATAAGATGAAACGAGTGGCCCGGTTTTGCACTGCTTCCATAATGTGTCGACAACGTGTGATTGATGGGGTACCAAATAGCTGCAGCATACTTTATTTTATGTTTAATGTAAGTTTTGCACGCCATTTTTTGAACATGTGGAGGGGCACCTCGTAGGGTTCCTCTCGTGAATGGTTTCAATATGGGTTTTACAAGAAAGGTTAGAAGCTAATCTGGTGCCAAGATATTTGTACAAGAAAACGGGTTCAGTCACTTCGTTGTTCATAGTTTTTCGGTTTAAACCGATAAAAACCGATAAAACTAAGGCGGAATCATTTTCGAAAATTCAGTTTTTACCGAAAAAGGTCCGTTTGTAGATTCGGCGTTTTCGGTCTAAACCAATAAAAACCGATAAATGTACGTCTAATCCCTTTTCTAAAATTCGGTTTTAGCCGAAAAAGGTCAGTTTTTTAGGGCCGCGTCGAGGTGGGTGGGGGAAGGGGAGAGAGAGGAGGAGGGGGGGGGGCTTTGCAAGGTTCGACACTGTGTGACGACTTCGTGATTGCCCTCTTCCAAGGTTCAACATGCAACAAAAGAGGTCTTGAATTGGCCGCGGGACATGTGTGTCCTTTATGTGATCGGGCTTAGTGTGTCAAGTTCCCGGTCCTAAAAAATAAAGTTCGGATTTGGGCTGGTATAAGGTTTTTCGCTTCATGCACTTCAGAGGACATGGAGGAACGCCGTTAATACCTTTCTTAACAATCTCTCTCAAACTTCCCTGTGATTAAAAACATAAATTCAATGGATTTTTTTTTCTTTTTTGCCATTCCGTTGGCTTTTGTACGGTCATCACATTAGACGGTCACGTCGTCAGAATGAGAAAGAAAAAGAAGCGCGTTAAAGATTATGCCCGCGAGTCTCGCGATTTTGAGGTGTGTCCTGACAGAAGTTGCAGCGAAGACCACATATGTATATGTGCCGTTATTCTTTTAGTGATCACAAATATGACAGCTACAAGGATCATCTGATCCGGTGTTCGATGGTGTTTCTTTCATATTCACCGGAAAAAACTGGTAAACTTTTTTTGGGAATAAATACCCACCGAAAAAAAAGGAAAATTGAATTTTAAAGTAAACACCGAGAAAAGTACGGCGAAGTTGGAAAAAATAAAAACCGAAAACGCGGAACCCTATCTATAGTAGACTGCTCTGATATCAAGGATTGTTTTCTGGTGAATTGAATTAATCTGCATCTTATTTGGAGGCTTTAACCATTTTCAGCATAGTGGCCAGTTTCCTCTAGATCGCTCTGAAGTCTATAGTTGTTGTTTACTGATGAAACCATGACATAATTTATTTTCGGCGTGGTTGCAGTGCTGCTTTCCCGCCAAAGTGCGCTAGAGCGCCAGGACCTCGCCAAGCTGCAACCGCAGCTTTTTGTCCTGACGTCCTACCGTTTTGTACCAAGCAGAATGGGAAATAAATGCATTATTATTATTAATAATAATAATAATATTATTATTATTATTATTATTATTATTATTATTATTATTATTATTATTATTAATACCTGTGGGAGGGGGGGTGCCGAAGACTTGGCACCCCCCCTCCCACAGGTATTACATCAAGGTGGGTTGCGGGTTAGGATCCAACGTGAGGAAGTCTTCAACTATTGTGGATTCTAGCCAAATCGTCGCTTTGACTTCGGCCTTCTGCTTCATCGCTTAAGATGGCTGCGGTGCTGTACATTGGTCCTACTCCACATCATATCCATGTCCTCGTTGCTTCAACTCGGAATCTTAGCCTATGAGCGATCATCCCCACTCGCTGTGGATTCTCGTCCTGTTCAGGCAGGGCAAAAAGGCTGTGCTGGTCTTAAAACCGTCGGCGCCGCCGTGAATAGCTGTAATCAAGACATACAGGCTTGATGGTGGCTGAAATCACTCCACAGCACATCCATGTCAACGGTGCTTCAAATCGGCAACTTAGCCTATAAGCGGTCACCCACACTCGCTGTGGGTTCAACGTTGTCGCCCTGTACCTACAGGCAGGGCAAGAACATTGTGCTGGTTTGAAACCCGCCGGCATCGCCGTGAAGAGCTGTAATCAAGCCATACCGGCTTGATGGTGGCAGACACCGCATACTGGAGCAGCGACATCGCGCACCCTGGATTTTGTGCTTCATAGACAGCTTCCTTGAACTGTTGTGCTTTAGTCAGCGGTTCATATTTCCCATTCACCCTTGGCACACACACTGTTTGCGGCAGGTGAGCGTCTGATTCGTTTGTGTACTGTAGTCTAAGTTGACCGCGAACTGCAGAGTGTGGCCTTCAATTTTTATATCTTATTTTGTGTCGTCTTTTATAGTTAAAATGTCTCTTAGTTGCCGTGCCTGTCTTGACCCCCTTCCTACCGATGGGAGAGTCATGAAATGCTCCGAGTGCCTCAGCCAGTACCATCTTGGCCAACGATGCTCTCACATTGCGGAGAGTACATTTAAGACGATGGGCAAAGCAAAACGCAAAATCTGGGTATGTGGCCCATGCAGGAAATCTAGAACTCACTCGAGTTTCATTGATACCGAGTCAGAGTCGATATCCCAGGATGATGACAACACGATATCGGTTCAACTTGCTGCCGTCAACAAGAAACTTGATCTTCTGCATAATCTGAAAGACAGTGTTGACAGGCTTAGTGATCTACCATCAAACGTTGAAGTCCTATTATCAATGAGACCTACAGTTGAGGCCCTAAAAGAGACCGTAGGAGCTGTTCAGACTTCTATAACGTTCTTATCCCAACAATATGACACAATTCTCGCACGTGTCAGCTCCAATGAAAGTGAAGTTAAGTTACTGAGGTCGGAAGTTAGCTCTCTGCAGTCGACAGTATCAGAGCAAGCATTGGTGATACAGCGACTGCAGTCCGACATAAATGAAAAAGAACAGGATAATCGCCAATCTAATATGGAAATTTCTGGAATTCCCTGTGCTCCGAACGAGGATTTGGGTGCCATTCTGAAGAGCCTCTCAGTCAAACTAGACTTGCAAAATTGTCAGGCTAGCGAGATACTTGATATCCGCCGCCTCCGGGCCAAGCCTGACTCAACCCCACCTATCCTAGTTCAATTCGCCTCTACTGATATCAGACAAAAATGGATGAGTGCCCGTAAAAAACTCCGCTCGCTTTCTAATGTAGAATACCCGCAAAAAATATATTTTAATGAAAACCTCACTAAGGCAAACAAAGAGCTTTTCTGGCAAGCGAGATCAAAGGGCAAAGAAAAAGGATATACTTTTGTGTGGGTTAAAAATGGTACAATATTCGCAAAAAAAGCTGAAGGTTCCATTCCCGTGCGTGTCTCTAAGGCTGGAGACCTTGAGAAAATTGTTTAATCGCTAACCCCTTGCTGTTCCTATATGAACGATTTTCGACAATTTACTGATCTTTCTTCGCTAAGCAATTTTTTTCCACTCGTAAATAGAGCAGTAACGATAGTACATGTAAATATTAGGAGCATCAAGAAATACTGGGACGAGTTCCAAGTTGTTATTCGTAACATTAAACACATCGTAGATGTTTTTGTTCTAACTGAGATAAATATTCATGATACACACAAGGAACTATTTTCTTTGTGTGGATATCGGTCCTTTTTTAGTACACGTAACTCGTCTCGCGGAGGTGGCATAGCCATTTACGTTAAAGAGAGGTGGTCTTGTGCTGAGTTGAAGTTCTCGTTCAATCACGCTGAGTACTTATCCATAAAAATGTGCGATAGCCAAATTTCAACATTGGTTCTGGCGTTTTATAGGCCTCCATCAAGCAATGTTAAATCATTTCTAGATGAGCTTGACGCAAACATCGCTAACATCGGCCAGAGTGAGATCATTTGCCTTGTGGGCGATTTCAATATTGACATACTGAAATCCACACGATCGAACGTATGTGACTACCTTACGCTTCTTTCTAACCACGGTATTTCTCCTATTATTAACGTACCTACGAGAGAAGAGTTTACAAAGGGAAAGCTTGTTTTTTCGTGCCTCGATCATATTGACATCAGGAGTTCAGGGGCGTCTGTGAAATCCGCAGTCATCTCACAAAAGCTGGCTGATCATTATTTTGTGGCATGCCAAATAGGCTGTGGTATTGTATCGGAAGAAAACAAGAAGCCTTCAAACCAGATTGCTATTATCGACAGTCACGTTTTTGACAAGTTAAT